TCACAGTGACATTTGGGCACAGTCCTGTCTCAGACACTTCTCTGGATAAAGGGACAGTCACTCCTCCCATCTCAGGCAGTGGGTGAAGAGCACACACAGTGTCCATACAGAGTTTATGCTATCCTATGCAAACAGGATGTGTCTTTAGTGCCAACCCCCTCCCCTTTGGTAACTCCTCCTCCTCCTCCTCCTTCTCTTCGGTTTTGTTTTGTTTTTTTTTGTTTTTGTTTTTGTTTTTTTGGCTTTTCGAGACAGGGTTTCTCTGTGTGGCTTTGGAGTCTGTCCTGGAACTCGCACTGTAGACCAGGCTGGCATCAAATTCATAGTGATCCTCCTGCCTCTGCCTCCTGAGTGCTGGGATTAAAGGCCTGCGCCACCATCTCCCGGCTAACCTTTCCTACTAACCTGCCCAGAAATTTGCAGACACTAAACAACGGATCAAATGGCAGAGTTGAGGTGCCTCGGGTAGAACCCAGGGCTGTTTGCTCCTTAGAAGGAAGACTAACTCATTGGAATCTTGTACAATTGTTCTCAGTTTTAGAATGTGTTTGGCATGTGGCAAAGGGCCAATAAATAGGGGGCATTGTTTTGGCCTGCTGGAAGCCACCGGTGAAAACACAGCATTTCCTGGGAGAGAGGGACACAAGGCAAACCAGTGGACCAGTGGAGGGGGTCTTTTCAGACACTCTGTCGTGTGCATCCTTTAGAACAGGTGCAAGGATGTCACAGAGACAACCACTGAACAAGAATGAAAACCAGTGGGACATCTCAGTGAATGTAACCTTGAAAGACCTCACAGGCTTCTGTGGCCCCCAAGCCACGTTTGCTGTAAGCCTGTTATACATGAGACTTCACCAGCAGGGGGCATGGTAGAGTCCTGTCCTATCTCCCTGGTCCTCACTCCCATCCTCTGTGACACTTGTCAAAGGTCAGGGCATCCAGCAGTCTGGTCCCTGTGTGGTATGCTGTCCCTCCCCCAGATCATGCTGCCCTCCCAAGAAAGGGCTCATCCTGGGAGACCCCAGAAAAGTGTAAAAGACTCGGCATTGGCACATAATTTGAGTGAAGACGTCTGGAGGTAGAATCCTGATACCACAGTTGACCAAGAACAGCCTTCCCTGGGCCAGGAGGGCAGATGTGCCCTGGGCGGGGTGGGGTGGGGGGTTTCTGCTGATCCCTGGCAGTTCTCTAGCTGAAGAAAGGGTTGCGGGGGAATCTGCAGGCCTGGGAAAGGCAGAGGGGGTTTGGGGTAGGCGCAGCAGGGCCGGAAGGTGTCTCGGGACACTTTTCTTAATCACATGAGAAAAAAGTATGCAGGGCAGGAAACATGTTTAATTGTGTGTGTGTGCCTATGAGAATGTATGTGCACATGTGTACAGGTACCCTCGTGGGTGCTAGGTGACTGGATCCAGGTCCTCTGCAAGAGCAATACATGCTCTTAACTGCTGAGCCATCTCTCCAGCCTAGGAGGTGGCTTCTTTTACCAAAGCACTGCCTAATTGTGTGTGTGTGTGTGTGTGTGTTCAGATCTTCGGGTGGGTACACGAGCATATGTGTGCACAACAAGGTCATCCTCAGGTGTCATTCCTCTTGTCTGCCTGCCTTCTTTACTTTTTTTGAGACAGGGTCTCTTACTATTCTGGAACTCTCAGCTAGGCTTGATTGGCTGGCCAGTGGTCCCCAGGAGTCCTCCATCTCTGCCCTCAGTTTTGGGATCACAGATGTGATCACACACATACTCAGCTTTTTTTTTCCCCAATGTGGTTTCTGGGACTTGAGGTTATGACTGAGCCACCTCTGTAGCTCATTTGCTATGAAACAGATGATTTTGTGCATATGTATCTACATGTATGTGTTCATGTATGTGCACACGTGCGTGTAGGTACATATGTGAGTGCAGGCATGTATTGATCAGGAAGACAACTTTGGCTGTCATTCTGCAAGTGCCATCCACCTGTTTTTTTCCTGAGACAGACACTCTTACTGGCCTGGGACTCACTAAGTAGACTAGGCAGGCTGGCCAGTGAGCCCCAGAATGCACCTGTGCATGCTTCCTTGAGGCTGGGGTTGCAAGCCTGTGCCACCACTCCCAGAAAACACCTTACTGCCTAGCCATCTCCCTGGTGCATCCATGGCAGTGTGTGATTGTTGTTCTCATCACCCTTTACCTTCAGGTCCGGGGACAGTGCCTAGCACGCAGTAGGAGTTCAATATGTTGAGAAAAGGTGATGAAAGAAGGAATCTTGTGGCTTGGGTTTTGCTATGGTCTGGAAGCTGTTTGAGGGAGAGGGGAACATGGGTTTGTGTGTCGGTGGAAGCTTGGTTCCCAAGCAGACCCTTTAAGGCGGTGACCCCAACCTTTCTAAGGCTGCAGCCTTTGCTCGAGTGGTGTAGTACTTGACTCACGCTACAGTGACCCCCAGCCAGAAGATTGTTTCATTGCTACTTCCTAACTGTAGTTTTGCTACTGTTACAAATCGTCATATAAATATCTCATATGCAAACCCTGTGAAAGGGTCATTTGACTCCCAAAAGGGTAGAGAGACATAGAGGTAGAGGCAGGCAGATCTCTGTGAGTTCGAGGACAGGACAAACAAACAGAGAAACCCTGTCTCGAAAAACCAAAAGTCCCAGCCACCATTGTGTTCTCTGGCTTCCTTCTGGAGATGTGGGCTCTTCCTCCCACACAAGCTCCCCCTAACGTGGCACGGGGCGCAGGCAGACCCTCACCCGACAGCAGGGCAGTGAAGCTGCTGCATGTTAGAACCCTGACCCTCCAGAACCTCGAGCTAAATAAACCGCTCTAGAAAACCTGCTTTCGGTGTTTCAATACAGCAACATGAAGCAACGTACAACCAACCTCTTTGTAAGGGCTATTTTTAGGCAGGCTCTCTGTATTGGGCAAAGTTCTCTAAAACAGCCGGGCGGTGGTGGCGCACGCCTTTAATCCCAGCACTCGGGAGGCAGAGACAGGCGGATCTCTGTGAGTTCAAGGCCAGGCTGGACCGACAGCCTCCAAAACAATACAGAGAAACCCTGTCTCGTAAAAACCAAAAAAAAAAAAAAAAAAAGTTCTCTAGAACAGAACTAATATCACACACACACACACACACACACACACACACACACACACACACACACACGGATCTATTAGGTTGACTTACTTGGCCAACAGTGACCGTGCACCTGCTGCTCGATGTTTAGTTCCTGAAGATATGATGCCTCAATGGTCAGAATCTGGCCCTGAAGGTCTTGCAAAAGTCTGTCCGTGTTGGAGGGCCAAGGCAGCTGGAGTCTGGAGTGGACAGGGAGGTGGCGCAGCACCAGGCTTGCTCAGGAGGCAGCTTTTTCCTTGCTTGCCCTTGTGCATCTGGGATGTCCCTTGGCAGCTTCTGTCCCCCGAGGGTAAGTCCTCCCCCTCCATTAACCTTCTCTGGAAAGGTCCCAGAGGCATATTTCCTAGGTGATTCCAGAATCTGTCAAGTTGACCATCAACACCGTGTTACCAGGGTACCCTACAACCAGCTAAGTGGTCCGGGGTTGTTTTCCAACTGAGCATCCTCCTGCCTCAGCCTCCCAAGAGGGAGGGTCACCAGTGTGTGTCTCCAAAACCAGCTCCTGCATCTTTTTATATATTGACCTTCTGGTAGGTCACAGGATGGATGTCTGAGTTGGTTCCGGATACCCACTAAGGACCACAGTGAGAGGACCACATGTTGTCTCTGTGATTGGGTGTGTCTGTGTGTACGTGTGCACTGGGTGTCTGTCCCCCCTGCATCTGGAGCTGGACATGTTTGGCTCGGTTGGTGGCCAGTCACAGAGCACCAGCAATCTCCCTGACTCTGTCAGCCACACCCTGTGGTGCTAGGGTTACAGGTATGACACGTCCAGCTTTTTTTCCACAGGTGCTGGAGACCCGAACTCAGGCCTCTGTCCTTGAACAAGTGCTCTTCCCTGAGACACTTCCGTTTCCCCAAGGCCTCTTTCACCTCACAGCAAGAGAAACTGGGAGCCCAGGCAGGAGTCATGCTTATTGACTGCGAGTGAAATGGAAGGTTTGGAGCACCTGTGGGCTGTAATGCTCTTCTAGGCTTACCTTATTTCTAGATAATTTTTAATAGAGAAACAAGGAAACTTTAAGCAGATTTGAATAAAACTAGAGTGACTTTCCTAGTCCTGGAGGTGGGGTTTGTATCTGTCACTTTTAAATTTTTATCTTTTTTCCTTTTCTTTCTTTCTTCCTTCTTTTTTTGAAGGCAGAGTTTCTCTGTGTAACAGGCTCTGACTGTCCTGCGACTCACTCGGTAGACCAGGCTGACCTCAAACTCACAGAGATCTGCCAGCCTCTGCCTTAAGAGTGCTGGAATTAAAGGTGTGCGCCAGGCTGGGCTTATTCTTTCTCAATGTGCACGTGTGTCTGCCTGTCTGTATGTGCACCACATGCATGTGATGCCTTTGGGGGCCAGAAGAGGGCATCAGACTCACTAGAATGGGAGTTACAGGCACTTAAGAGCCCCAGTGCGGGTGCTGGGCTCTGAGCCCAGGTCCTCTTGAGGAGCAGTCAGAGCTCTAGACTGTTGGGCCCTCCCTCCCACCCATCACACGTTTCAAAGTTAAGTCTGGCCCTCCAGGAGTACTGACTCCAAGTTGGCCTGGGAAACCTGAAAGAAACAACAGCTGTGGGCAAGTGTAATCTGAAGCCTAGAGAGGGCCTGGCAATGTTGCCATTCACTTCTGTTGGTGCCACTGGATGGCTGTGGAACCAGCGGTTGTAGGGGAGAGTGACAGCAGAAGCCCTGTCTGCTTAGCAGGCCCCAGAGCTCCAGGCCTGAAGCCCAACTTACCTTTGACCTGGCCCCATCTGGATGGTGGAAATACCATGTGTGTCAACTCCAAACGCTACCTGGGGTTCCTTTTGCTGGCTCCCTTCTGGAGGCCCCTCCCACCTGGCATTTCCTCAGCACTGTGGGATACAGAGACAAGCTGGAGAGGGCTGAATGTCAAGTAGAGTCACATATTTTATTCGAGCCTCATTTCTTTAGAGAAAGGGGAGCAGAGAGGAGAGGAGGTGGTTGGAGATGGTCTGGCACAGTTCCCAGAGACGTGGGTTATGTGCAGGAAGCTGAACACTAGAAATCTGCTGAAGGTGACATCTGGGACACCTGGAGACAGACCTCCGAGACAACTGTCGGCCTTGAGTCAGGCAGCCTGGGAGTATGATGGGCATGTGATCCCAGCACCCAGTAAGCAGGAAGTCAGCAGTGGAGGGTCACAGAGCCAGGACGGATGGCTTGTACCCAGTCTGGATCTCATGCCCGAGTGATGCCTTTTGGGCCGGGAGGGTTTGCCAGGGTAATCTGCCTGCTATCTATTTTCAGTTCACCTACCAAGCATCCTCATCGCACTAGGACAAGTCTGGACGAGCATGTGGCTGCTTCCTCTCCGATGGACTTGTCTGAGGTGTCTCAGGTGGAATCTGAGACTGGGAGCCTGAGGCCCCAAAGCGATAGGCGGTGAAGTAGTTCCGCCAGGGGCTGCGAGACCTTGCCTTGGTTCTAGGCTGGGGCCTCCTGTGTCTCTTTGATGCCAACTCCAGCTCTTCTTCTGTCTCTGGTTCCGTCTGGGCATCTGTCTCAAGCTCTGTGTCTAGCTCCAGGTCAGATTTGACTTGCATCTCAGACTCCAGCTCAGATTCAGCGTCCAGCTCTGTCTCATGGTCCAAGTCCAGGTTCAGGTCCGGGCTGAGCCCCAGCCCGCTGTTCTTTTCAGAATTCAGTAAGCCATCCAGGTCCAGGTCAAAGTCTAAGTCGTCCTCAATGGGCTTGTGGGTCTTGTAGTTTGGACTTGCACGTTGGGGAGCGTCTATGATGCTACTACCGGTTTTATGTCTTAGATTGCTCAGGTTGCCATTCTGAAACAACACACATTTGGAGACTTAACCAGCGGGGGACTGGAGACATGGCTCAATGGGTAAGAGCACTGGCTGCTCTTCTAGAGGACCTGAGTTCAGTTCCCAGCACCCACATGGCAGCTCACAACTGTCTGTAACTCCAGTTTCAGGGGATCTGACACCTTCACACCAGTGCACATAAAATAAAGTTAAATAAAATATGAATGACTTAATCAGTGTATTTCACTTCCAAGCAGTCAAGGGATTTCAGAATATATCCAGGAATTAAGGACCTAGAACCAAAGTTTGTTTTTTTGGTTTTATGAGACAGGGTTTCTCTGTATTGTTTTGGAGGCTGTCGGTCCAGCCCGGCCTCGAACACACAGAGATCCGCCTGCCTCTGCCTCCCGAGTGCTGGGATTAAAGGTCCTAGAACCAAAGTTTTGTTGCCCAGATCTGCTTCAGACCTCAGTGTTTTAAAGTTCTTCACTATTCTTTGGGTTCAGTTAACCCCAACATCTGCTGTCTGATTTTTCTAGCTAGACTGGATTTCACGAGACTTTTCTTTCTTTCTTTCCTTTCTTCCTTCCTTCCTTCCCTTCTTTCTTTTTTGCTCTCAGTTGCCAACCCTAACACAACCCAGACATCTAAGGGCCTTTAAGGCTGTGTCTCTCACTTCAAGCTGCGGCGCCCTCCCTTCGCCCTAGCCATGCTGGTGCCAGGGACTGCCTGGCTTCACCTGCCTGATCCATCCCCATCTTGTCCACATACATGTGGACATTCTTCATTCTAGATGCAGATCAAAGATGGGGGGGGCCAGGCTCCCAGCCTCCTCTGTGATCCAACTGCCCCCTCGAGTGCACTCCTGGTTTATTTACAAATCCATCCGTAGCCAGACTCTAAGCTCCTTGTTGTAGAACAGGGCCAGGTTCTAGATGTTCCCAGTATCAGATACTTGCGGGTACATTCCACAACGCTCACCCTTTCTCTCTTTCTGAAACAGCCTTCCTTCCTCCTTCCCGGCTTGTTATTTCAGGGTGTCTTTTGCTGTCTCCTCAGCCCTAACCTGATGGTACTCTGTCACTGCTACTCTATCCTAGTCTACCAGTGACGCTTCCCCCAGAGAGCTCAGACTTGTAATAATTTACACCTGACTACCCTGTGATGGCTAAAGAAACTCAATATGGTACCAGGCATCCCTTAAGGGCAATTGACCTTTGCCCTAGAATTTCTGTGAGATCCTAGGGACCTGTGGGTGAGATAAGAATGAGACAATGAGCGGGCGGTGGTGGCGCACGACTTTAATCCCAGCACTCGGGAGGCAGAGGCAGGTGGATCTCTGTGAGTTCCAGGCCAGCCTGGTGGTCTGCAGAGCTAGTTTCAGGACAGGCTCCAAAACAATACAGAGAAACCCTGTCTCGAAAAACAAAACAAAAGAATGAGACAACGAAGCCAGGCAGTATTGGCCCCAGAGGCAGGTGGATCTCTGTGAGTTCGAGGCCAGTCTGGTCTACAGAGTGAGTTCCAGGACAGCCAGGGCTACACAGAGAAACCCTGTCTCAAAAATAAATAAATAAATCCCCATCGCGAGGCATTTAACCACTTGCTTCCTGCTTTTGTAAACTTGCTTCCTGCTGTGCAGCTGGGATGAAGTGTCCTGGCCTTTTTATTGCTATACAGTGGGAAAGAGGAACAACTGAAAGGAATAATTTCCTTGCCAGCCGTGGATCCCATAAGTAACTGTAGTGTGCTCCTTTGCTATCTACCTGTTTAAACCCTGCCTGCAGCAAACCCTTCAGAACAGCATGCCGTTTGGCTCCAAGGCTGCCGTCTTTCTGCTAGCAGTAAGATTAAATTCATTTCATCTAAATCTGAATTGAGTCTAAGTCTGTGGTCTTTCCCAGTGCCTTCACCCACTGGCAAGTCCTCAGAATGCTTGCTGCAGGTGGGGGGGCACCTGAGTGACAGCAGACCGGAAGTGCTATGCTCTGGTCTTGTTGACAGCGGAAAACGAGGCTCATAACCTGTGAGACATCTGGCTGGGCAGACGGGGGGGGGGTCCCGCGAGGGAGGGGGGAGGAGAGGGGATGGGGATGAAGAAGAGCTGTGGTGTTCTGTTTGTCTGACTATGATTCACTTCTCCAAATATTTTGAAATATTTATTGTGGCAGCACTTTTCTTGTCATAAAAATGCAAACTATTAAAACAAAGAGTTGGGCTGGAGAGATGGCTCAGAGGTTAAGAGCACTGACTGCTCTTCCAGAGGACCTGAGTTCAATTCCCAGCAACCACACGGTGGCTCACAACCATCCGTAATGAGATCTGGTGCCCTCTTCTGGCCTGCAGACATACATGGAGGCAGGATGTTGTATTCATAATAAATCAATCTTTAAAAAACAAGCAAACAAAAAATCCAAAGAGTTGACTGAAAATAATTCCAGGCCATGAGATAACACGGTGTGTCTACTGTGTCTTGGCTTCCTGCAGACTCTGATCTGGGAAGCCCGAGGTCCACCAGGGTCTCTACTTAGGGCTAAGGAATGGTTCACATTGCGGGTGTGTGTGCCCTCCTCTTTTCAGTCTGGCCATGACGAACACATCCTCATTACTCACAATGTAAATCATCTCAACGTCCTGGAGGGCAGCCATGGCTTCTACTCATCAGACTTAGGACTCCCCCCGGGAGGTGGCGGTTGTGGAGGCTCTAAGGCCTGTGCAGGGGAGGATTTCAAGTATCTAGCAATTGGTGTGAACCTAGCCACAGGTGATGTGCAAGGATGTCTGAGGCCTCCGCTGGGCTGGGCTGGGATCCTGGACGGGACATCCAGGAGCTGTGGCAGTGGAGGTTCTTGAAGGCTCGGGTCTCTGCCAGGTACGACTGGCCTCAGATGCTGGTGCAGGGGCAGCCCAGCCTTTCTCGGACACCCTTCACCTCTGACCAGGGACCCCCTGCCCCTACTCTTCTCCCCCGTTCCTGAGGCTCCACGTCATCCAACCTTGTCTGACTCTGAGTAGGTTTCCTGTATCACTGTCTCAGTTGCATCTATGCTTAACTCCGACGGCTCGGGCATCTTCCTTGATAAGGCAAACAGCACGGCGTCGTGCAGGCTGAGGAAGAGCTGGGCCTTCGTGATGCCCTCGTCGAAGAAAGCATTCTTCTCAAACGACTTGACCACAGAGGCTGCAGACCAAACCCAAAGGCACAGGTGTCAATGCCTGGGAGCAGAGACCCTGGCAGGTACAAGACACATTCTCTCTTCACAGGGAGGAAGGTACTCACTGTGGCAGCCTGAGATGAGCACCAAGATGTTGGCGTTGTAGAACGCATTACACATCTGCAGGGAGAGAGCCAGTGAGCCAGAGTCAGAGAGCCCCATGCCCACCAGCTCCCTGGGGCCTAACTCCGTCAGTTATCCTCTTGCTGGGGAGCCTGTACCTCTGCCTTCCAAGCCCATGAGCGTTTTGTGAGGCCAGGAACACAGGAGCCAATCAGTGCGTCTCGTGGTGGGTGGGGAGTGGTGGGGAGGGTCTGCCCAATTCCCAAGCAGGAGGACTATGCCTGTGGTAGTGTTTACACGAGAAAGCCTCAGGATAGACAGGGTGATGATGCTCCTGGGAACTTTCTAGGTGTGAGCCACCATGTGGGTGCTGGGAATTGAACCCACAACCTCTGGAAGAACAGTCAGTGCTCTTAACGGCTGAGCCACATCTCCAGCCTCATGCTCTTTATTTTAGGGAAGTGGAACATAAGAAAGTCCTCCAGCAAGAGGTGGACAGAGCCGTTACAGGAGAATGAGGAAGCCTAGACTTTAGGATGCAGATGTGGACCATGCGTCTCACAGCTGTAAGGCAGAGGGTCCCGAATGGCCTGGGTCAGAAAACTTTCTGTGTAGGTCAGGTGTGGGTGCCAGGATACAGGGTGCCTCTTTAAGAATGGGGGGGCAAGAGAGGGGTGATGGAGGATGTCCTTCTGTATGCTGTGAATATGTGTTTCTCTTATTGATTGATGAACAAAGCTGTTTCGGCCAATGGACAGGCAGGATGTAGCCAGGCGAGGAATCCAAACAGGGATAGAGAAAGGTAGGAGGAGGAGTCAGGGAGACGCCATGCGGTTTCTGGGAAGTTAGGATGCCTGGGCAGTAACCCAGTAAGCCAAGACCACGTGGAGACACATAGATTAATAGAAATGGGTCTAAAATTAAGAGAGCTAGCCAATAAGAAGCCCGAGCCATTGGCCAAACAGTTTATAATTAATATAAGCCTCTGTGTGTTTATTTGGGACTGACTTGCTGCAGGGTCTGACAGAACAGAAAAATTCTGTCCTCAGAGGGGAGGTGAAAGAGCCAGGAAAAGCCAGGTGCTCGAGGCTCTGAAGCACCAAGGCTTGGAGTTTTGAAAACAGGGCTGCTGGGAGAACGGACGGCAACAGTGTGCAGTCATCAGGCAGGCGGCGTCTGAGAGTCACTCAGAGCTTCCTGTGTGCTGGGCAGAGGCTCTGCCAGCCTTAGAGACGCTCAGGGTCAGCTCTCTAGGTGGTGTTGATGAGCCTCCGAGTGCTGGGATTAAAGGCCTGCGCCGCCACCACCACCGGGCCAAGAGGCATGCTTCTTTAGGGGTGTGAAGGTTCCCTGAAGCAGGATCCAAGTCAGAAGCGGGCACGCCCATCAAAGGGGCACGGCTCACGGTGGGGGCAGATCTGGGAGGGAGCCTTTGTGAGCAGGGGTAGGGCAGAGACAAAGGCCTGAAAGGAAAAGTCGGCCACACTGTCTGCTCTGTGAGGAAGGCAGAAGCTTCTCAGAGAGGGGGGGCCCTGCTGGCAGCCCATAGGCAGCTGAAAGGCGGGGTGGGGGGCTGTTGGTCCTCCACAGCTGTCCTGGAGTCCCACAGCTGGTGGACACAGATGCTGCCTGGTGATATTAAGAAGCACCACCCCCACCCCACCCCACCCCACCCCACCCCCAGAGAAACGATGAATGATTCGTGCCTAGGGAACTGACTGCTGGAGGTCAACAAATCGGACCTGGTTCATTTCCTTTTATTTTGATTGGCTTTAAACCACCTCAGTGTCTCCGTCGCTAGCCACCATGATTCACAGAATTACACTGGGACAGGGGTATGTGTGGCAGGGGATCAGAACCTAGGGCCAGGCCTCTGTGGTGCTTACCTGCCTCAGTATAACCGAAGCCTGGTTATCCACATAGTGCACCATGGAGAAGTCCAGGATGATGGTGTGGATGCTGGGCTGCATGCTCGTATCTGAGTAAGGGATGATGATGGACCTGGATCTACTCTGTGCTAAGCTTTCTGAGGTCTCGGGAGGTGGGAGTGAACTGTTCCTTGAGGGGTTGTTGGACAGCCAGATTTTGTCAGTGTCCTCGAAGCTCTGCCCTAGGTTTTTCTGCGATGTGGAAGACACGGTGTAGGGGACCTGTCCCTCCGACGTGCTTTCGCTCATGTCCCCATTGCTCAGGTAGGAGCATCGGATCAGGTTAATGGATGACTGGTCGTGCTCCTGTTTGCTTTCGTACCGCTCTGTGTAGACAATCTGGGATGACAGAGAAAGGCGGGACCCCGATGAGACTCAACCAGGACTGAAGTCCTTGCAAGCGCCGTGTTTCCATGGCTCCCCCGGTTCTCCTTGGAAGTTGTACCCATCATGCATTTTTTAAGCTTGGCCGTCCCACTATCACTTCAAGTTTACAATCAGAGCCATATCATAGCTTGTCACCTCACTGGTCCACAGACTCTTTCCCCAACTGCTTGTATCCATGAGTGACATTCACTAGTCTGTGACTTGAAGTCACCTTCAACTCATGCATTTCCATCATTCGTGGGTCCCAATGAGTCTCCAGGGTTACCACACCTTCCTGTAAAGTGCTTTCTTTCTTCCTTTTTACATGTGTGTATATATATATATGCATGTATGTATGTATATATGTATGCGTAATGCATGCCTGCATGTATGTGTCTATGTGTATTGTACGGCATATACCTGAGGCCAAATACATCACATGTATGCAGGAGGCCAAAAGAGGGCGACAGATCCCCTAGAAATGCAATCACAGGCAGTTGTGAGCCACCCAATGTGGGTGCTGGACACTGAACTGGGTCCTTGGGAAGAGCAGTGAGTGATGTCACCCACTGAGCCATATATTCTGTCAGGCTTTCCTGGGCACCTGCTTGCACACATGCAAGTCTCTCACCCAGTGGCTCGTTTCTGGGTACCTGCTTCAATCTCCATCTGCCTCTGGTCTCCTGGGAGATCCGAGAGGCTGGTATACACGTGCATGGACAGCACCAAGAGTTGGAAGTGCTACATCATGCAAGGCCCTAGCGTGGCGGCCTCTGCATATGGGCAGCAATGGTTGATCTTGTCGTTGTGACTGGATTCATGATCACTGCCCTGTCCCTTCTCCCTCACCCTCCACAGTGCTGTGCCTGCCTGACAATGTCAGTTTCAGGGTCCCTACCAGTTCTACTGGCATACAGGACCCTCTGTCTCTCTTGTGGCAGCACAAATCCACTTGCTAAGCGGTACCTCAGGATTCCCGAGTTCACGCCACTCTGTTTACTCAAGTCGTCAGAGTTGTTAGAAGCTAAACATTGTTCAGAAGACGGACAACTGTACAGTGCTGTGCGTCACTATTCCTAGTGTGCATTCAAGGTGGCTGGAGAGCCGGCTCAACAGTCAAGAGCACCTGCTGCTCTTGCAGAGGATCAGGGTTCCGTTCCCAGCATCCATTTCAGGCAGCTCACAACCACCTATAACTCCAGCTCCAGGACATCTGATGCCTTCTTATCTGTGTAAACACCTGCATATATACACACACCATACATACACACATATACACACACAATATATGCATATATAAACACACCATATATACACACATACATAGATATATACACACAATATATGCATACACACCATGTATATTTCTATACACAATATATATACAATATATGCATACATGTACACCATACATACACAAACATATATATATACACATGTCCATACACATCCATATACATACATCACACACATCATCTACACATACCATATAAACACCTACATATATATACACAGATACACACACATATATATACATATACCATAAACACATATATATACACATACACACATTCACAAATGTATATACATATGTACACACACATATGTATGTATATACACATACATAAATTAAAAAGTAAAAAATTTCGAATTGTACCATTATTTATCATCTAGAAAGAAAAAAATATTCAATTATATACTTGGATTATACAAATATCAGAAATTTGAAAGATGTTTACTTTATGATTGGAAAATACATTATATTACGTCACATTAATGGAGAGTTGACTCCCTAATTTAATTTTACAAGCTTAGCTATGGACTGCTAAACCTTACAGCCACTCAGTGTGGTGCAGTGGCACACATATATAATTCCAGGATTTGGGATGCCACATGATGATTTCGGTGACCTTGAGGCCAGCCTGGAATACACAGTGACACCCTATGTCAACAACATCAAGGTGGGTGTGGTGGCATCCCAGCATTTGGGAGGCAGAGACAGTAAGGTCAAGAGTTCAAGACCAGAAAGGTATGGAGTACATGCCTTTAATTCCACCACTTGGGGGGAAACAGCAGGTGGATCTCGGTGAGTTCAAGGCCAGCTTGGTTTACATAGTGAGTTCCAAGCCAGCCAGGGCTATATAGTGAGACCCTGCCTATATACGTGTGTGTCTGTGTGTGTTCACACTCACGTGTACGTGAGTGTGTGCATACTTGAGTGCGCGTGTGGAGTGTGTGTGTACGTATATAATTAAAGGATAGCAAGGCAGTAGTGGCGTATACCTTTATTCTTGGTACTTGGGAGGTAGAGGCAAGGGGATGTCTATGAGTTCAAGGCCAGCCTGGTCTACAGAATGAGTTCTAGGAGAGCCAGGGCTACACAGATAATCCCTGCTTTGAAAAATAAGAGAGAGAGAGACAGACAGACAGACAGAGCAGAGACAGAGACACAGAGAGAGACAGAGACAGAGAGACAGAGAGAGAGAGGGAGGGAGGGAGGGAAGGAGGGAGGGAGGGAAGGAAGAGGAAGAAAGAAAAGGAAACCCACACATATCACACATATAAAGTATGTGTCAAAGCCACTCCACATTCTTCTTCTATCCCCACCATCACTCTCGACATCACATGGTGTCTCTCTCTGTGTCTGTCTGTCTGTCTGTCTGTCTGTCTGTCTCTCTCTCTCTCTTTGTCTCTGTCTGTCTGTCTCTGTCTCTCTGACTGTCTCTCTCTCTCTATATATATATATGTATATATATGTGTGTGTAATGGTCTGTTTATCTTTAAAGGAAAAGGGCGTGGCTCACCCTGGTCTCTGGCTCCAGCTCTTCACAGTCGCAGAAACACCTACAAATTTTGTTTTCCGATATGCCGGCGTAACTTTCACTGAACAGGGCGAACACTTCTTCTTCTTTAAGAGGCATCCTCACCATGTTGACCTGGGGGACACAAGAGGGGTCACGCTGGGGATAGGTGGTGGGCAGGGAGGCCCCAGGGTGTGAGGGGTGCCTGGCGGGCGGGGGCCCTCACCTCTTTTAGCAACTTGTGCTTCAGGTTGTACACGTTGACGAATGTGATGGAGTTGCAGCACTGCAGGATTTTCACCCCGGGGATGAGCACCACCTGCGAGGCAAGGCGAGGCGGTGGGCAGGGAGCGAGGGCCGCACAGCGCCGACCGCCGGCTCCCAGGGACCAAAGATCCCGCTCCAATCAACTCCCAGCACGCGCTCTCTCTGTCTCTGTCTCTGTCTCACTGTGTGGGAGCTGGAACTGGACCTCCGCTGACCGCTGCCTCCGGAGTACTGCGGGCAAAAGCAAGCCAACGCCTCCACACCTGTGAGCCCTGCCTCGTACGCGTAAGCACTCTTGATGTCGCACTCCCTTATCTAGCCTTCTTCTCCCACAAGCTCACCATGAGAGGGCTCTCTGCTGGCTGTCCCCCGGAGCCTCAGGCCCCCCATTGCCTGTGAGTGGGCTGTGGTGCTTTGGGGAAGGGCTGGGGCTGAGCTGCCTATTCTTTCTTAACCCCTGTCCTGTGTGTGCGTGTGTGCATATGCACATGTAGGCGTGTGTGTGCACGTGTGTGCGTATGAGTGTGTGTGTATGCATGTGTGGAACACAGAGGTCCACAGGTCAAGGTCAGTGTCTTCCTCAGTCGGGGTCCACTGCTTACTGAGGCAGGGTCTCTCACAGAATGCAGGCTCTAGGATTCATTTGGTCTAGATACCCAGCTTGCCCCAGGGATGTCCTCTCCTGCCTCCCAAGCACTGAGGTCCCAGAGAGCTCGTCGTGCGTGCGTGGCACCGGCTTTATCCACGGGCCATCTGCCCCATCCCTGGGCTGGCTCCCTACCTCCCGGTAGTCGTTGATGTTTCTGTAAATGTTGGTGTTGGGGATCTGACCCAAGACGAGGATCTTGGTTCTGGAAGGAAATGCGCTTGCCTTAGGTCCCCGTGCCCTTTCCTTGCCGCGGCTGTCCTCCACTTACCAGAGGCCGAGTACCTGTGCGAGCGAACGGTGATGACGAAGAAAGCAAAGACGAGCGAGATCAGGAGTCCGATGTCCAGTCCCAGAAATATCGCCGAGGAGAACGTCACCATCCAAACAACCTTGTAAGAAAGGGGCGCAGGGGGGAGGAGACCGTGAGAACGAGGGGCATGGAGGCGCCAGGCCTACCCCAGAAGGCTTGGCCCTAGAGGCCGTCTAGATGTGCTCTGATAGACCCCCGATCATCTCTCCCTTCATTCCTTTCCTGAAATGCCAGTGTCCCTGCCTACAAAATGGAGACAATGTTATCTACCTCGCGGATGGTAGGATGGGTTGACATGAGAAATCCCACTGGGAGAGCCAATCAGAACTCATGGAATGATAGTGAACTGTCTGTAATAGTTGTTATACCTATGAATTTTATTTTAAAATTTTTATTTATTTTGTGTACGTATGTGAATGCTCATGTTGGTGTGGTCGTCATGTGTATGTGCATAGGTGAGTGTACACGTATGTGTCTGCATGTGGATACCAGAGGAACTATACACTTTGTGTTTTTCAGACTGGGTCTCACATTGGCCTAGAACGCCCCATAAGCTAGGCTGGGATTCTAAGTGTGTGTCACAACACCCAGCTTTCTTATGTGGGCTCTAGGGTCTTGAGTGGCAAGCAGTTACAGACGGAGCCTGGCTGGCTCTGCCCCTTCTGCAGGCTGCAACTCCATCCATCCCCCCAAGCCCCTCACCCCCGTGGCATCTGTACTCACACAGTCATACTGATCCTGCCTCCACAGACTGGGTAAGTTGTAAATGGTTTCAAGGTAGGGTATCACATTGCTCAAGATGATCCCTGCCAGCACGGCCTGTGGGGGAAGAAAAACTGCCTTAACTGCCTTGTTCTCTCTTCAGGGATGGCATTCCCAAGTCTGCACAAAGGAACCTGTCTCTTGAAATGCTACATGGGCTTTTTTTTTTTTGTTAAGTGTACAGCATGCCCAAGCTCTGACTCCTGGGTCAAATAAAAACCTTCTCCATTTTTCCCCCTTTCATCTACAGTGCGTCAAGTCCGGCAGGCGAGGCCACACCACAGTCAGACTGATGCAGGGCAGGCCCACGTTTGTGCTTGCATTCCGGGCAGGCTGAGTGAGGACCACCCAGTGCTCAGCAGAGGAAGGCACGGCACGGGCAGAGTCAGGCTTCTTCCCCACTGCTTTATTTCTTTCTTTCTTTCTTTAATTATTTTTTTTTTGGTTTTTCGAGACAGGGTTTCTCTGTATTGTTTTGGAGCCTGTCCTGGAACTCACTCTGTAGACCAGGCTTGGTCTCGAACTCACAGAGATCCACCTGCCTCTGCCTCCCGAGTGCTGGGATCCCCACGGCTTTATTTATTTTCACTTATTTATTGTTTTCTCCAGACAGGGTTTCCCTGTGTGACAGTCCTGTGTCCTGGAATGCCCTGTGTAGACCAGGCCGGCTTCAAACTCACAGAGATCCTCCTGCCTCTGCCTCCCAAGTGCTGGGATTACAGGTGTGCACCACCACTGCCTGGCACTTTTTTTAAAACCTGATCTTGAAGATTATTTATCCTAATACTTTATGTATATGGGTGCTCTGTCTTCATGCACACCAGAAAGAATCTGATCCTGTTACAGATGGTTGTGAGCCACCATGTGGTTGCTGGGAATTGAACTCAGGACCTTTGGAAGGGCAGTCAGTGCTCTTAACCTCTGAGCCATCTTGGGAGAGAGCCTGCTGCTAAGTTTTTAACAATGTCAGAAAGGGGAGGTATGTAGTGGTGTACTTCTTTAATCCAGCACTCAGGAGGAAGAAGAAGGCAGATCTCTGTGAGTTCAAGGTCAGCTTGGTCTATAAAGGGAGTTCTAGGACAGCCAGGGCTGTTACATGGAGAAACTCTGTCTCAAAAAAACAAAAAATAAAAAACAAAGTTTAATAAAAATAAACCAAAATGAAAAAAAAAAAAACAAGTCAGAAATCGTGGGGCAGCATCACAGGGGTTTGTAGAATTTTCTTTCTTTCTTTCTTTCTTTCTTTCTTTCTTTCTTTCTTTCTTTCTTTCTTTCTTTCTTTCTTCCTTCCTTCCTTTCCTCCCTCCTCCTCCTCTTCCTTCTTTCTGTTGTTGTTTTTTGAAACAGGGTTTCTCTGTGTAGCCCTGGACAACTTGGAACTCACTCTGTAGACCAGGCTGGCCCCAGACTCACAGAGATCCACCTGCCTCTGCCTCCCCAGTGCTGGGACTAAAAGTGTTTGCCACCACCACCTAGCTGAATCCTTTGTCTTTTAACCTGAGGCAAGGAATGTCTCCAAGCAATAAATCTCGTCAAAAAGCCATGTAAAGCCAAGTTGGGTCCTTTCTGACTATTATGGGAAAACAGTCACTTCATTAAAAATTAATTACATTCCTACACAATTTTATTTAAAAATACTTTTTTGCTGTTGTTGTTTCTTTGAGGCATGGTCTCTCTATTCTATGTAGCTCTGGTTACCCTGAAACTCACTGCATAGACCAGGCAGGTCAGCAGTCCTCTTGCCTCTGTATACTGGGTGCTACAATTACAAGTGTACGTCACCATGCCTGGTCTGTGTAATTTCCATCATTGAAGAGATAGCCACTGCTAACCTTCTGGTATGTTCTGTGTATTCGGAGCATGAACCTATATTGTTACTTAGAGTCACTTGGTTATAGCTGTAATATAAACGCACACAGTATGGCTAAGGGTCAGGTAATGTCCCAAGCACGGGCAAGAAGAGAGATACAGTGCCCAGAGTCAGTCTGCGGGCCCAACTCCCACTGCTGTGGATTAATTAGCAAGAGGCTGTATGGCAGCAGACACAGAAGGCGGGCAGGAAAATGCTGAGTGTCTGAGTCGCACGGGCCGTGGGGCTCATGCCTCTGATTCCCTTGTTCCTCACTGAGTCCCCGAACGTCAGCTGAACGTACGGCTCAATGAGATGTCATGACTGTGTTTGGCCACTTGCTATGAGTTTGACACCATCTTGTTTTAAGTGAATATATACATGCATTACATACAGACACGGATCACACATAATCATGCTTAATGTCCAACCTTATGATGGAGTCACTACCATGAGTGTGGCTGTCTGAGTTGGCCCATGAGTTTAAGGGTGCTTGTATGCCTAAGCACACACATAGAGGACAGAGAACCCCATTTTTAAAAAAATGCTAGGCTGGCTAGTCATCAAGTCCCAGCAATCCTCCTGCCTCTGCCTGCCTCCTTCTAGCACTGTGCTTACAGGTGCATGAGGCCACACCTGGCTTTTCCATGGGTGCTGACTATCTGAACTCAGGTTCTCACACTTTTTTTTAAAGATTTATTTATTTATTACATATACAGTGTTCTGCCTATATACCAGAAGAGGACACCAGATTGAATTGTAGATGGTTGTGAGCCACCATGTGGTTGCTGGGAATTGAACTCAGGACCTCTGGAAGAGCAGCCAGTGCTCTTAACCACTGAGCCACCTCCCTGGCTCCAAGATGTTATTATTGTAAGAAACAAGAATGGAGCCACCACTGGAGACCAGGAAAACGCAACTTTCCGCATGAAGGCTCTACCAAGATTCCATCTTTCTTTCAAGAGGTATTTACTTTATGTGAATGCGTGACTGCCTGCATGTATGTATGTGCGCCATGTGCATGAAGTGCCTGAGGAGGTCAGACAAGCACAACGACTCCCTGGGGACTGGAGTTACGGGAAGCTGTGAGCTGCCATGTGGGTGCTGGCATCAACCCCCTGGCCTCCTTAGTCACAGAGCCACGGCTCCCGCCCCCAGACCCCGCCATTCCTGACTTACGTGAGTCACTCAGTCCCACTTACGTTGGGCATAGTGTGGAAGAAGCTTCCAATCTTCACCATCAGGAGCACCATCACACCTGCGCCTACCAGAGACGCAAACTGAGGAGACAGAGCCGGTTGGAGAGAAGCCATCAGGAGCAATGCTGGTCCCTGCCTGCAACTGAGGCCGTCTGTTTGCTGGGAAGCGTGACGCTCGCTTTTCTTAGGAGGAGTTGGGGGTTCAGTACGAGTGCCTTTCAGGATCTTAGTGAAACATTTGGCACACAGTAGGCACTTTGTAAGAGCCTTTCAGGATCTTAGTGAAGCATTCGACACATAGTAGGTACTTTGTAAGTGTCAATAAATGCCGACTGCAAAGTTTCAGTTTTCCCTGGAGCCCTTGTCACCACTTGGGACTATGGATCTCCTAAGATATACGGCTTGTATTCCTTCAAAACTTTAGCCTCTCCTCACACAACTCAGAAACTCCACCCCCGAGCAGACACCTCACTGACAGCCCCAAGTTCCCACCATTCTCCTTCCTGTGTAAATAAATGCCCTGTGTGTCCCTGTGTTGTCGGGAGCTTTGACAACTTCCCATCTTGAATGGGGTTTCATCTTTTCTTTGGTTTGTACTTGAGACAGGATCTCATGATGTAGCCCCGGCTGTCTTGGAACTCATTCTGGAGACCAGTTTGGTCTTGAACTCACATAGATCGTCTTGTCTCTGCTTCCACAGTGCTGGGATTAGAGGTGTGCGCCCCACACCCCGTGTGTCTCAGCGTTTAAACGGGTTATTTTGATCTCACGTGGTGAGAATCGGCCTGCATGCATCTATTTGCACAGTGTGTGTGCCTGGTGCTCCAGGAGCCCACAGGAAGATGCTTGTGAGACACCCGATGTGGGTGCTGGGAAGCAAACCTGGGTCCTCTCTAAGAGCAGACACTCTTAACCACTGAGCCGTCTCCCAGACCCCCAGAAGGGCTGGGATTACAGGCATATGCTAGCTACCATGTGCCTCCACCCAGTGATTTTTAAGACAAAGTCTGAGCAAAAATGAAAGCGAGCATGGGGTCCAAACTCTTCCCACACAGACTCTCCACTGGCTAGAGCATTACAATGAGACCCACCCGGATGAAGCAGACAGCCATGTGGACGGACACCCACCTCTTTCCTTTATGGGGATGCACTCGGGATGGGACCTCTTTTCAACACACCTGCTGTCTTCCTCCGGATTTGTCTTGGATAACAGTCCTGGCCATGGCAGCCGTGAACACACAAGATCTGAAGAAGGAGCTGACCAAGTTGCAAAGGCCGATGGCTATCAAATCCTGGGAACAAACAGCAGAGCCTTTGAGCCCACTTTCGTGGGGGAATCTGGCTTGGAGCTAGAGGTGCCCTGCTTGCTGAGGCTGAGGTCAGGGTTCTTAGCCTCAGGGGGCACACGGGGAGGACCGATCCGATCTTCTGCGTCACACTGTGTCTCTCTCTGCCCTAGCCTCTGACCACGGGGAAGCACTTTCTGACTCTTGCTTTCCTCTTTCTCGTGACCCCTGGGACGCGCGGAGAGCTCAGTGTTGGCCTCTCCCCCTTACACTGACCTACGTGTCTGCTGGGACATCGCTTACTTCTGTGTCCCTCTCGACAGTTCGGGAAAGTACCACCTTCAGAGTAGCTGGAGACTTTTCCCAAAAAATAAAAGCAGAGGCCACAGGCAGGGCGTTGCCGCCACGTGCAAGCAGCCTGGTTCTGTGTATGCTACCTGGTGGCACTGGCACCCAGCATGCTCCTGGCTTCTACAGCCATAGGGAAGGAAGACAGGAAGTCTGCTAGCTCAGTGGCACTATGCCATAGGTTGTCTGTCACTCGCTATCATCACTGTTTCGAGACAGGGTCTCATGTAGCCCAGGCTGGCTCCACTTGCTATGAAACGAAGACTGGCCTTTAACTCCTGATCCTGCCTCTGCCTCCCGAGTGCCAGCCACCTGGTTAATTCCTTTGCCTCCCTGCACGATATCCATACCAGGGACTAAAGCTTGTGCGAACTCAAGTGGGCTCCAAGCCACACACCCTCCACTTCTCAGACACCTTGTGTGATCACAGTCCAAATTGTGGTCCCAGTGACTCTGGATAAAGGGAATGTAGCCCTCGCGTTGGTGGAAGGCCCGCATGGGAGAACAATGGTATCGGAGAGCAGGGGCCCATGGTCTCCCTCACCTGGTTGGAATTGACTCTGTAGTTATGCAAGCTGGAAATCTTCTTGCCCAGAGATATGAGCAGAAAGGAGCTCACTAAAGATAAAGACATGGCTTGTAAAATAATTCTGCTAAGAACGCTGAACTCTGGAGTCTCGGGGAACACGAAGCTGGAACAGAAGAGTGTAATTACGGCTGGGTGGCAGGGAGTCCCTTACCACATGTCTCCCACTCCTCCTCGTGCTAGGCAGGCCTCATGGTCCCTCCGCCACCTGTTTTTCCTTCTTAACAATGAAGGACAAACAGAGCAATGCAGGCAGCAGCTTGCCCAGACAGCCAACGAACTGAGCCACGTTATAAAGGACATCAAAACAGCATCCTCTGTGCTTCTCTGGTCCTAGTTCCCACCTTAGTAGTGAGGGCAAGCGCTGGGTGTTACTGGGGGAAATGTCTCTGCTGGTGAGAGCGTTCTGGGGGTGCACTGAAGGTCACCCCTGCATCCAGCATGCTTGAGAGCTAACAGGCTCCACGAGTTCCTTCTGTCCGCACTTTTCCGGACAGGGTTCTACTCACTGCCTTCATTCAGGTCCATACAAATTCCACCCACACCTTCTCTCCTGCAGTTTCTCGCTTGTTTGCTTTGTTTTCGCTTTTTGAGCAAGAGTCTCAGGTATCCCAGGCTGATCTGGAGTTCCTGATCCACCGTCTGTGCCTCCCCAGCGCTGGGGTCACAGCTGTGCGCCGTCGCGCCCGGCTCACAGAACTGTGCACTTTAAAGAATGAATCTTCCGGTGTGTCAACAGGCGGGTGAAAGAGCAGCGCAAATGACTTTTTTTTTTTTTTTGGTTTTTACGAGAGCAAATGACTTTATACCAATATTTGATAATTCAGAGTAAATGAATGAGTGCTTTGAATGACTCAAATTCACGGCGTGTTCTCCGGGAGAGACAGATAACCCAAAGCAGAGACAACGATCACACAGTGTGACCACTGGTAGCTACTGTCAACTTGAAGGATCCAGTCACCTAGGAGATGCGGCTCTGGGCACATCTGGGGGATTCCCTCCATTGCTTTAAGGCGGGAAGACTTGCCCACTGTGGGCGGAGGGGACAGAGGGGAACTGAGTGACAGAGGGGAACTGAGCACATCATGCACCCCTTACCCTCTGCTTCCTGACCTGGAATGCCTTGCGATCGCCCACTTTAAGCTCTGCCAACCCTGACCTCCTCCAGCATGAGAGGCTGTACGCTTATAGTATACACCGCACTGAACCCTTTCTCCCTTAAGTTGCTTTTGTCAGAGAGTATTTTACCAGAAGAAAGTGATGGAGATGCAATAAGAATTTGGTTTAATTACATACAAGCTGGGCATGGGCATTTGCCTGAAAAAAAAAAAAAAACAGAACCTGGGAAGAGGTGTTCAGAGGATCAAGAGTTCAGTATCAGACTTAAAGGTTAGGCTGCAGCTGGGCGGTGGTGGTGCACATCTTTAATCCCAGTACTGGGGAGGCAGAGGAAGGCTGATCTCTGTGAGTTGGAGACCAGCTTGGTCTACAAGAGCTAGTTCCAGGACAGCCTCCAAAGCCACAAAGAAACACTGTCTCGAAAAATCAGGAAAAAAAAAGTTAGGCTGCCTAAGATCCTATCTCAAAAACAAACTTTAAAAATAGCACACTTAGGGATGGGAGAGATGGCTCAGAGGTTGAGAGCACTGACTGCTCTTCCAGAGGTCCTGAGCTCAATTCCCAGCAACCACATGGTGGCTCACAACCACCTATAATGAGATCTGGTGCTCTCTTCTGGCGTGCAGACACACATACAGGCAGAACACTGTATACATAATAAATAAATAATCTTCAAAAATATTACACTTAAGACTGAATTATAGGGGCTGGAGAGATGGTTCAGTGGTTAAGAGCACTGACTGCTCTTCCAGAGGACCCAGGTTCAATTCCTAGCACCCACAAGGCAGTTCACAACTGTCTGTAACTCCAGTTTCAGGGGAACGGACACCCATGGCAAAACACCAATGCACATTTAAAAAGAAAAGAAAAGGAAGTCAACAAAATAAATAAAGATATTTTTTAAAAAGGCTGAATTATAATTAAGTGAAACTTCAGGCTTACATAGCTTCACTGGTGGATTCTACCAAGTGTGTAGGAAGAACTCATGCCATGCCAGTTTTATAGGAACCTTGAGAAACTGAAGACATTATAAGGAAAAGACAAACATTTTTGATGACCAACATATAAAATGATAATATAACAGGACCACATGGGCTTCCTCTGAGGACATGAGAGGGTTAACCTCCGAATGTGCTTAATATGCATGAGAGGAAAAATCAAAAAAGGAAAAGAAATCCTGATGGTTTGGGAGACAGCATATATATATGTATATATATATGTATTATATATTTGTATATGTATATGTATGAATATACATATATATACATACACACACACACACAGAGACACAATCCTTTAAACCAATTTGGGAACATGGATATGTTTCATCTTTCATTTCTCTATTTTTGTGGTAGAATTTGTTTTTGGTAGAGCAAATTAATAGCTTATCTAATTAAAACTTCTTATTTCATGCTTAAAGCCCACATCTCCCTTTCTGTTCATTTATGAAGTTGTGTAAGAAAGTGATGATTCTAAAGAGGTAAATAATAAATACAGTCTACAATACAAATTCAACAATACAAATCACTCTTTTTCCCTCCTACTGTTGTCTGTGTGTCTTAATTTTTTTTCTTAGTTTTTTTCGAGACAGGGTTTCTCTGTATTGTTTTAGAGGCTGTGCTGGAACTCGCTCTGTAGACCTGGCTGTCCTGGAACTCACAGAGATCCTCCTGCCTCTGCCTTCCCAGTGCTGGGGATTAAAGGCGTGCACCACCACCGCCTTGTGCTCATTTCTTACCACCGAATCAGGACTGAAACAAATACAGGAGCTGGTGTGATAGAACATCTATAGTCCCAGCACTTGGGATGTGCATGTTGGAGGATCAGGAATTCAAGGCTGGCCTGGACTAACTGTATCACACAAGCCAAAACCACCACCGAAAGCAACAAGACAGAAAACAATAGTAGGAAAAACGAGTATAGTGGGAGTAAAGTTATAGTGTCAATTTTACCAGCTCCCGGCGGCCACGGATTAAAAAACAAGGAGGGGTGGCTCAAAGAATATCCAAAGCAGGGTTTGAATTGGATCTCTGAAATGCCTTCTTCTCTGCACGTGAATCTCATGGTGAAAGATAAGCTGGAGGGGGCTGTGTACTGTGGAAGCCATTAAGAATTTAGAACAGGGGCTGGGGAGATGGCTCAGAGGTTAAGAGCGCCGGCTGCTTTTCCAGAGGTCCTGAGTCACAGCCATCTGTAATACCTCACTACCATCTGAGTCCACACGGTGGCTCACAACCATCGGTAATACCTCACCACCATCTGGTACCTCCTTCTGGCATGTAGGCATACAAGCAGGCAGAACACTGTATACATAATAAATAAATAAATCTTTAAGAAAAAACATGAGCCAGGCCCAGAGGTAGCTCAATGGGTAATGCTCACTGATGCTCGTCACCAAGCTGACACATTGAGTATGACTCCTGGGACTAACTTGGCATGAGGAGAGAGCCAGTTCCCACAAGTGGTCCTCTCACCTCCACGTGCGTGCTGTAGCGTGCACGACGCCCTCCCCCCATGCAAAGAAAAAACACAGACAAAACAATATTTAAAAAGGATGCAAGTTGCTGGGCATGGTGGTAAGCACATCTTTGATCCCAGCACTCTGGAAGACAGAGGCAGGCCAGCCTGGTCTACAGAGTGAGTTCAAAAATAAATAAATAAATAAAATAAATAAAATTTTAAAAAAGGATGCAAACTCACTGAGGATTGGTATAGTCAAATAATTATCACCATAGACTTTAGAATTATACAAAAATGAACTCAAAGGTAGTTGTGCCACTGTCTGGATATGTGTCCTCCAAATGTGACATGCCTCAGTCTTCCCCACAAGAAGGCAGAATCCTCTTATACTGCTATCAGAGACAGATGAAGTAAACATGCAAGTGTCCATTCCATCTCTGTTCTTGTCACTGCCTTTCCCTTGTACTCCTAACCCATGGTGTATAGGTGCTGTCTGTTCATGTCTCCATTACTGAATAGGATTTCAGTTGCCACCACTGTATTTCACAGGGAACGGTCAGGGTATGGGCCTGGTTCAACACGACTGTATAAGACAGCCTGCCTGCTGTTGTCCTGGAGGTTCAGCCAGTGACCCCAATGCTTTGGGATTCCCCTTCTGCCTTTGGGTCAAGACGCTGCAGTCTAGTCCTTTCTCGTCATTCAAATGTCTGCTGTCAGCAAGAGTCTGCCCTATCGTCATTCAAGAGATGAAACCAAACGCCAAGGGATCATGAGTCCCTCAGAGCTGCTGGCTCATTCAAAGAGATCCTACCCAATGAAGAAGAAAATGTTGTTCAATAGCAGAGTGCATGCTTTGTCTGTGAGAGGTCACAGCTTCGATCCCAGCACAAGAAGAGGGACAGGGAGAGGAACCCCTGCAACCCACGTTCAAGTGTGTGTCATGTTCTCCTATGAACACGGGCTCTATCAGAGACACTAGGAAAGGGAGCTCTTCTTACGAGCGCTCTTTCCTGCCAGTCTAGTCCCACAGCCGTGTCAGCCCCAAAGGAACACACAGACGCTGTATTAATTATGAAACTGTTGGCCGGTGACTTGGGCTTGTTATTGGCTAGCTCTGTCTTAATTATTAACCCATTTCTATTCATCAAAGTATTTTCTCAAGGTCTTATCTTACTGGAGGAGGGTCTGGACCTCTTACCCCTTTGCCATCTCAATCTGACTTCATTTCCCAGAATTCTCCTTTTCTGGTAGCCCCGCCTATCCTTCCTGCTTGGCCAGTAGCCAATCATTGCTTTATTCATTAGCCAATGAGAGCAATGTATGTACAGAAGACATACATCCCCATCATCCTCTCATCCCATCTTTTTGTTGATTTTTTGGGAGGGAGGGGGGTTCTCATGCAGACCAGGCTAGCCCTGTGATTAAAGTGTAGCCAAGGCTAGCCTTTAACTCCTGATCCTCCTGCCTCCACCTCCAAAATGCTGGGATTACATGTGGACGCTATATGCCTGGCTTTCTTGTTAGGCTCTTGAAATTTAATCAGACCAGGGTGGGGCTCTGTGAGACTCATAATGGCTTCAGAAAAAGGAATCAAGTCTCTGGTGTTCTGGGCCTCCAGCAGGTGTCTTAGTAAGCTGACAGGTTCTCTTATGAGACAAGTGGCGGGGGAGGTAAAGAAGAAACAGAAGATGAGCTGGCCCGTTTGTTCACAACCTCTGTACTAGGCTTCATCTTGGTTGAAAGGGTGAGAACTGTACCTGTGCTCCAGACAGACTCAGCTGTAGCCAAGTACCACTAGGAAAGCCTGTGAGCCCTGCTGTGTGGAGAGAGGCCTGGGGAGGGTGCTTCGCTAGGAAAGCCTGTGAGCCCGGCTGTGTGGAGAGAGGCCTGGGGAGGGTGCTTTGCTAGGAAAGCCTGTGAGCCCAGCTGTGTGGAGAGAGGCCTGGGGAGGGTGCTGCTAAGGGAAGAGCAGCAGGCCATGAAGGTGTGCCTGCCATCCCAGCACTTTCAAGGTCGAAGCAGGAGGACTGTGCGTTTGGGGTATATAGTAAGACCCTGCCACAAAAAAATAAAGGACAAGCAATCCTGGAAGGGGGAATGATGCTGGTTGGCGGTGGTGGCGCACGACTTTAATCCCAGCACTTCAGAGGCAGAGGTGGGCGGATCTCTGAGTTCAAGGCCAGCCTGGTCTATGGAGTTCCAGGACAGCCAGGACTACACAGAGAAGCCCTGTCTTGAAAAACCAAAACCAAGCAAACAATAACAGGAAAGGAAGGTGAAATGGCTGACCTGTAAGGAATCATGTTGAAAAACCAAAACCAACCAAACAATAACAGGAAGGAAGGTGAAAAGGCTGACCTGTAAGGGATCATGTTGAAAAACCAAAACCAACCAAACAATAACAGGAAAGGAAAGTGAAAAGGCTGACCTGTAAGGGATCATGTTGATCAACGTCTTGCTGTTTTCTGTAGCCATGCTTATCTTGTTTGTAAGTACAGAGAAGCCAAGAATCTGTCGGGAGTTAAAAGGAGAAGCATAGGATTAAATACTGTGCGTTGCTCCCAGAGTGAGGAGCAGAGGCCCCAGCACAACAGAGGATGAAACGTGGACTGTCCTGACAGGAACATCAAGAGAGGCCTTCTGCTTTGACTCCCCAGGCTCCTTTTGGCACTGGAACCAAAGCACCTCAGCCCTGGTCTCTGATACACGGATGCTGGGGCTTCTCTCTCCAACAGCTTCCAGCACAGACATCACCAATGCAGGCCCTGCGTCTGGCTAATCAGAACTCCAGGCTCAGTGAGCGTCTCTCAAAAGAACCAGGAGGAGGGGCTGGAGAGAGACCCAGGGCTTAGGAGCAAGTGCTTGCTCTTCCAGAAGATCTGAGTTCAGTTCCCGGCACCCACATCCCTGGCTCAGAACCGTCTGTGCCTGCTGCTCCAGGGGATCCAATATCGTCTTCTAGACTCCGGGGGCACTTATATTCACATGTACATGCCCCCAACATACACACATACAGAGAATTCTTTTTAAAAACTAAAAGAAAAGCCAAGGTAGGCAGCAACAGAGGAAGAAACCTCATGTCAACCTCTGGCCTTTACATGTGCCCACATGGGCAAGTGCTCTCAACCACACACAAAGCATTTTAAAAGCATAAGCATTTGGGTAAAGATTATTGGTACAGCTGGGACCCACGGTTAACAACAGTGTATGTAGACATGAACATTGGGGAAGCGATAGATCTTAAATGTTGTCACAATGAAAAGATGATCCCTGGCCATGGGTTCTGTGTCCATTAGCTGATTGTGGGGCTCTGTGTCTGTTAGCTGATTGTGGGGTTCTATGTCTGTTAGCTGATTGTGGGGCTCTGTGTCTGTTAGCTGATTGTGGGGCTCTGTGTCTGTTAGCTGATTGTGGGGCTCTGTGTCTGTTAGCTGATTGTGGGGCTCTATGTCTGTTAGCTGATTGTGGGGTTCTATGTCTGTTAGCTGATTGTGGGGCTCTGTGTCTGTTAGCTGATTGTGGGGCTCTGTGTCTGTTAGCTGATTGTGGGGCTCTGTGTCTGTTAGCTGATTGTGGGGCTCTGTGTCTGTTAGCTGATTGTGGGGCTCTATGTCTGTTAGCTGATTGTGGGGCTCTGTGTCTGTTAGCTGATTGTGGGGTTCTGTGTCTGTTAGCTGATTGTGGGGCTCTGTGTCTGTTAGCTGATTGTGGGGCTCTGTGTCTGTTAGCTGATTGTGGGGCTCTATGTCTGTTAGCTGATTGTGGGGTTCTATGTCTGTTAGCTGATTGTGGGGCTCTGTGTCTGTTAGCTGATTGTGGGGCTCTGTGTCTGTTAGCTGATTGTGGGGCTCTGTGTCTGTTAGCTGATTGTGGGGCTCTGTGTCTGTTAGCTGATTGTGGGGCTCTATGTCTGTTAGCTGATTGTGGGGCTCTGTGTCTGTTAGCTGATTGTGGGGTTCTGTGTCTGTTAGCTGATTGTGGGGCTCTATGTCTGTTAGCTGATTGTGGGGCTCTATGTCTGTTAGCTGATTGTGGGGTTCTATGTCTGTTAGCTGATTGTGGGGTTCTATGTCTGTTAGCTGATTGTGGGGCTCTATGTCTGTTAGCTGATTGTGGGGTTCTATGTCTGTTAGCTGATTGTGGGGCTCTATGTCTGTTAGCTGATTGTGGGGTTCTATGTCTGTTAGCTGATTGTGGGGCTCTGTGTCTGTTAGCTGATTGTGGGGCTCTGTGTCTGTTAGCTGATTGTGGGGCTCTGTGTCTGTTAGCTGATTGTGGGGCTCTGTGTCTGTTAGCTGATTGTGGGGCTCTATGTCTGTTAGCTGATTGTGGGGCTCTGTGTCTGTTAGCTGATTGTGGGGTTCTGTGTCTGTTAGCTGATTGTGGGGCTCTATGTCTGTTAGCTGATTGTGGGGCTCTATGTCTGTTAGCTGATTGTGGGGTTCTATGTCTGTTAGCTGATTGTGGGGCTCTGTGTCTGTTAGCTGATTGTGGGGTTCTATGTCTGTTAGCTGATTGTGGGGCTCTGTGTCTGTTAGCTGATTGTGGGGTTCTATGTCTGTTAGCTGATTGTGGGGCTCTATGTCTGTTAGCTGATTGTGGGGCTCTGTGTCTGTTAGCTGATTGTGGGGTTCTGTGTCTGTTAGCTGATTGTGGGGTTCTATGTCTGTCAGCTGATTGTGGGGTTCTGTGTCCATTAGCTGGCCATGGGGCTCTGTGTCTGTCAGCTGATTGTGGGGTTCTATGTCTGTCAGCTGATTGTGGGGCTCTGTGTCTGTTAGCTGATTGTGGGGTTCTATGTCTGTTAGCTGATTGTGGGGTTCTATGTCTGTTAGCTGATTGTGGGGCTCTGTGTCTGTTAGCTGATTGTGGGGTTCTATGTCTGTTAGCTGATTGTGGGGCTCTATGTCTGTTAGCTGATTGTGGGGTTCTATGTCTGTTAGCTGATTGTGGGGCTCTATGTCTGTTAGCTGATTGTGGGGCTCTGTGTCTGTTAGCTGATTGTGGGGTTCTATGTCTGTTAGCTGATTGTGGGGCTCTGTGTCTGTTAGCTGATTGTGGGGCTCTGTGTCTGTTAGCTGATTGTGGGGCTCTGTGTCTGTTAGCTGATTGTGGGGCTCTATGTCTGTTAGCTGATTGTGGGGCTCTGTGTCTGTTAGCTGATTGTGGGGTTCTATGTCTGTTAGCTGATTGTGGGGTTCTATGTCTGTTAGCTGATTGTGGGGTTCTATGTCTGTTAGCTGGCCATGGGGCTCTGTATCTGTTAGCTGATTGTGGGGCTCTGTGTCTGTTAGCTGATTGTGGGGTTCTATGTCTGTTAGCTGATTGTGGGGCTCTATGTCTCTTATCTGATTGTGGGGCTCTGTGTCTGTTAGCTGATTGTGGGGCTCTATGTCTGTTAGCTGATTGTGGGGCTCTATGTCTGTTAGCTGATTGTGGGGTTCTATGTCTGTTAGCTGGCCATGGGCTCTGTCTGTTAGCTGGCCATGGGCTCTGTGTCCATTAGCTGATTGTGGGGCTCTATGTCTCTTATCTGATTGTGGGGCTCTGTGTCTGTTAGCTGACAATGGGCTCTATGTCTGTTATCTGGCCATGGGCTCTGTCTGTTATCTGGCCATGGGGTTCTATGTTTGTCAGCTGATTGTGGGGTTCTGTGTCCATTAGCTGGCCATGGGCTCTGTGTCTGTTAGCTGATTGTGGGGTTCTATGTCTGTCAGCTGATTGTGGGGCTCTGTGTCTGTTAGCTGGCCATGGACTCTGTGTCTGTTACCCCAGAAATTGAGGGTAGGCTGAGAGTTGGAGGCCCGTTTGAGCTGCCTGGTAAGACCCTGTTTGAAATAAACAAAAGCAAAGGAGCAAAGGAGATCCTGTGTGTGGTGGCAGAGGTGCTGACTAGCCTGATTAAACATGCCAAAGCCTCTTCTTTTGCAAGCAAGTAGATAACATTCCTATTGTCAAGTCTGAGCAAAACCCACACTTTTAAAAGATGGAAACACATGCCTGATTTAGCAGGTCAAAGTGCTTTCTGGGTGCCAGCCTGATGAGTAGACCCTGGGCCTGGAACTCACTGTGGAAGGAGAGGGCCGACCCCACCAAACTGTTCTCTGACCTTCACACACACACTATAGAACTTATGTGTGTGTGTGCTCGGCATACACATAAGAATAATAAACAAAAAAATAAAAAGAAAGCATTTCGTAGCTAGGTGTGATAGCACATGGCTGGAGTTCCTGCACTTGAGAAGCTGTGGCAGGGGGACTATTAGGAATTTTCAGCCAGTCTGGAATACATAGTGAGACTCTGTTTCAAAATACCAGTGGAGAGGGAAGAAGGAATGAGGGAAGGAGGAAAAGAGAGAGAGGAAAGAGACAGAGCAGAGAGAAAGACAGAGACATAGAGACAGAATTTTACAAAAGCAGCATACATTTCAAACTGTATTCAGGGGACTGGAGACAGGGTTCAGTGGTTAAGAGACATAGAGACAGAATTTTACAAAAGCAGCATACATTTCAAACTGTATTCAGGGGACTGGAGACAGGGTTCAGTGGTTAAGAGACATAGAGACAGAATTTTACAAAAGCAGCATACATTTCAAACTGTATTCAGGGGACTGGAGACAGGGTTCAGTGGTTAAGAGACATAGAGACAGAATTTTACAAAAGCAGCATACATTTCAAACTGTATTCAGGGGACTGGAGACAGGGTTCAGTGGTTAAGAGACATAGAGACAGAATTTTACAAAAGCAGCATACATTTCAAACTGTATTCAGGGGACTGGAGACAGGGTTCAGTGGTTAAGAGACATAGAGACAGAATTTTACAAAAGCAGCATACATTTCAAACTGTATTCAGGGGACTGGAGACAGGGTTCAGTGGTTAAGAGACATAGAGACAGAATTTTACAAAAGCAGCATACATTTCAAACTGTATTGGGGTACTGGAGACAGGGTTCAGTGGTTAAGAGACATAGAGACAGGATTTTACAGATGCAGCATACATTTCAAACTGTATTCAGGGGACTGGAGACAGGGTTCAGTGGTTAAGAGACATAGAGACAGAATTTTACAAAAGCAGCATACATTTCAAACTGTATTGGGGGTACTGGAGACAGGGTTCAGTGGTTAAGAGCACTGGCTGCTCTTGCAGAGGACCTGGCTTCAATGCCCATCACCTACATGGCAGCTCACAATCATCTGTAATTCCAGCTCCAGGGGCTTTGACCCCCTTTTCTGACTCCTCAGGCACTAGGCATGCATGTGGTGTCTTGCATACATGCAGTAAAACACTCATGCACATAAAATAAAGGTAAGTAACCCTTTAAGCAAAACAGAAACCCTGCATCAGCTTTGACCTGACTCAATATGTTCCCTTACAATTCTCTTAGAAGAGACTGATGCTACTGTAATGTGTTTGTGCATATTGCGTATGTACAGAGTAGTGTTCATGGGCCCAGGAAAGGACATCAGATTCCTGGAGCTGCTGTGGGGTCCTGCACCTCTGGAGGCAGGTCCTGGGGCCTGAACTCAGATCCTCCAGGAGCAGCAAACACTTTTTTTTTCTTTTGTGGTTTCTTTGTTTTGTTTTGTTGTCCTTTTATTTTTGAAACAGGGCTTCTCTGTGTAGCCCTGGCTGTCCTGGAACTCACTCTGTAGACCAGGCTGGCCTCTAACTCACAGAGATCCGCCTGCCTTTGCCTCCCGAGAGCTGGGATTAAGGGCAGACGGCACCACCGCCCAGTCTTATGTTTTTTAGAAGCCCGTGTCTAGCATCACTGGTGGACGCCTACCAGAAACAGCTCCATGGGGAACTCAATGGGGTAGCGGTTGAAGGAGATGCGGATGCACTTGTTGATTCTCAGGGCCACCACCGCGGTGAGGAACAGCAGGATGCTGGTGGAGTTGGCTTTGGGGAGAGCTATGCAGTAGTTGATTATGTTCTGAAAGAAGAAAACGTTTGCAGAGGCTTCCTTAGGGACATCACGGTGGGTGGCTGACATCGAAAAACAGGCATTCTTCTCAGGTTCAAGAGCAATGAAGAGCTGCTGGGCCCGCTGGGCTCCACTGGGACACTGAGGGCAGGTATGAAGGCTGTGCGGCTTGGGTAGCTTTTCTCCACGCGAGGGATGGAACCTAGGGCCTCACTCCCACCGTGCTACATCTCCCAGAGCCCTCCCTTTTGTTCTTTTGACACAAGGTCTCACTAAAGTGCTCATGCTGGCCCTGAACTCATCCTGTAGCTCAAGCAGGCTTTGAACTTGAGCTCCTCCTGCCTCAGCCTCTCCCAAATCAGTGAGATTACAAGCCTGAGCCACCAGACTTACTTGGCTTTTTTTTAATTTTGGTTTTTAAAGTGAAGAGTAGATACTTAAAAAGGCAGTAAAGTTGAATGAGAGAATACTTTGTATGTAAGGGAGAGAACCTAAGGATCTGTTTTGGGGGGTTTGAGGCTCTTGGCTGGCCTGGAACTTGATTGATATATATAAATAAATTACAGAGCCGGGCGTTGGTGGCACACGCCTTTAATCCCAGCACTCGGGAGGCAGAGGCAGGCGGATCTCTGTGAGTTCAAGACCAGCCTGGTCTACCGAGCGAGTTCCAGGACAGCCTCCAAAGCCACAGATAAACCCTGTCTCGAAAAACCAATAAATAAATAAATAAATAAATAAATAAACAAATAAATAAATTACAGAGCTTTGCCTGCCTCTGCCTCCTGAGTATAAGAGCTCTGTTTGTTAGGCTGTCCACTATTATTTTTCAGGCCATGCCTGTTCTTCAGCGGAATTTCTGTTGTGGTTTTCCATCTGTGTATTTAGGATACAAATCTGGCATGTGATAGGGAGAGTTATGAAATAGTAGCTTCATGATGAAATTTAATTTTTTTTTACATTTAGTTCTTTAGTATATGAGTGTGTGAGTGTATGAGTGTGTGAGTGTATGAGTGTGTGAGTGTATGAGTGTGTGAGTGTGTGAGTGTGTGAGTGTATGAGTGTGTGAGTGTGTGAGTGTATGAGTGTGTGAGTGTATGAGTGTATGAGTGTGTGAGTGTATGAGTGTGTGAGTGTACATGTGCATACCCAACTTTTGGTAGTCCATGCTCTCCTTCCAGCAGGCAGGCTACAGGGATGCAGCTTAGGTTCACACACTTGCTGGCGGTCAACCTTACCAGCTGAGTCATGTCACTGACCCCATGGTCAATTATTTTTGGAGGGGGAGGGTTTCTTTGTTTAGACCTGGCTGTTCTGGAACTCTGTAGACCAGGCTAGCTCTGAACTCAGAGATCCATCTGCCTCTGCCTCTGCCTCCCGAATGCTGGAGTGAAAGGCGTGAGCCAACACTGCCCTGCACCACGGACAAATTTTTAATGCAAACCATCTAGCTTAAGAGGCTGAGCTGAGCCAGGCGGTGGTGGTGCGTGCCTTTAATCCCAGCACTCGGGAGGCAGAAGCAGGCAGATCTCAGTGAGTTTGAGGCCAGCATGGTTTACAGAGGGAGTTCTAGGACAGCTAGGACCACACAGAGAATCCCTGTCTCAAAAAAAAAAAAAAAAAAAAAAAACTGGGCTGAAGTGGCTGCTGTGTGTAAGCACGCTCCAGCCTGCTTCTGCAGCTGACCAAGACCCTGAGTCTACAGGAGATGGAGTTACTTCTGGGCCCCCCTTATCCTTTCGGTACAGGCAGAAGTTTGTCTACTTGGGCCCACTTTTCTGTCTAAGCCGGAAGAGGGGTGTGTGAACTCTGGGAGAGGTTTGGCGTTACTCACATAGAAGAAGGAGATGGGACCAGCGTGGAAACTGACCATAATCCCAAAGACGCATGTCATCTGGGCCAATATGATATGCAGCGCCACGGCAGCTAGGTAAGCACTGACCGCAGCCTCCGGAAGGTACGTGGCCACAAAGCCCATCCCCATCAAGCCCATTGACAGCTGTGGGGGTGGGGAAGAAAAGGGAAAAACAGAGAGACTCAGGTCACCGTGCTGGCTAGCGTCCTCTGAGAGGAAGGAATCACAATTGAGAAAATCACCCAATAAGATGACGAGGGAATGTCCTTCTGTGTTTATGTTTCTTCTATTGATTGATGAATGAATGTTGATTGTCCAGCAGCCAGGCAGGAAGTAAAGGTGGAGCTATTAGACTCCCAGAATTCTGGGAAGAGGAACGCTGAGAGAAGCCACCAGGGAGAAGCCATGTAGCCACTGAAGGAGTAACCGATCTGGGCTTCCCCACTAAGATAAGGCCACAGAGTAGTAGTTATGGGGTTAATAATTAAGAGAGAGATAGCCAGTAAGAAGCCTGAGCCATTGGCCAAACAGTTTATAATTTATATAAACCTCTGTGTGCTTATTTGGGACTGAAGGGCAGCAGGACTTGGAGGATCAAAAACTTCTGTCCTAGCTACTATTTTATAAATACTTCAACTAGGTCTGCACTCATTCATTCATTTATTTGAATATCATTATGTGGTCGAGGCTGGCCTCAAACTCCTGAGCTCAGGTGATCCTCCGGTCTTGGTCTCCCTCCTAGCTAGGACCAGAGAGAGGTGGCACTCAGAGGCACTCTACAGTGCCAGCCCACCTTCGACACAGAGGTTACCTCACCGGTGCTGACAACATGACTGGCTCCTGCTGAGGACTTCACATGAAGTTTCTCATTAAATCCCCCCAAAGAGCCTTGCGAAACACACTATTCCCATTTTACACACAAAAAGGCGGAGGTTCACGCAAGCATAAGCATTTCCCCCAAGCAGTCAGCCCACAGACTCTGGTGTTCCCTGAGGCGGCACCTCTGTGGCCTTCGTGGGCTCTTGGGGAGATGGGTGAGAGTCAGCGAGGGTGTGGGCAGTTCAAAGGACAGAGTCTGAAAGAACGGCCAGCTGGCCTATGGTGGATGTTGGGGAAGTCCTGTTATTTGCCTGTGCATTTGTCAATAAAGTACTGTCTGGCCAATAGAAAACCTAGATAGGAGGGACTAGGAGTCGAGGAGGATTCTGGGAAGAGGAAACACAAGAGAGTCAACATGTAACGCCATTGGGGGTAGGAAGCCTGGAACCTCTCCAGTAAGAGACATACTTAGATTAACAATTATGGGGTAATTACTTCAAACAGAGCTAGCCAGTAAGAGACAAACAAGGCCAACAGCTTCATAATTAATACAGCCTCCTGTGTGTTTATTTGGGGACTACATCGCAGCAGAGCCCAGGCTGCTGGCGGGGGATAAACCAAAGCGGCTAGCAAGGAAAAAGCTTCTCTTAACAGGGGGAGCTTTGGGTGGTCAACTCCCAGAGGGCAGTGGTGACACCACCGGGGCAAACGCGGAGATGTTAGGAAGCCTCAGCTGGCATTGCGGAGTCTCACTCCGCCCCAGGTTCTCTGATGCTTGTCAACCTAGAGCTCAGCATGTGAGACCACCTTCTTGTCTCAGGACTAGAAAGAGTGAAAAGGAAAACAAACCAGGAATGGGCTCTAAGCCCCTAGACCCTCTTCTTTCTTAGAAAGGGCTGCCGAGAAAGCTCAGAATGGTCTCCTGAGTCATGTGGGCAGTTTCGGGGGCATGAGGAGACTCCTGCCTGAGAAGACCATCTGTACACTCTCTGACTGCGGACACATCAGCTACGGGAGGGACCTCTTACAACTGCTGTGACAGTCATTGTGCTACTGGGACCAAATGCCCAGCGAGATGGGACTAACGTCCATCTCGGCAGCAGGAATGAGCAAACGGCATTCCCTGCCCACTCACTTCCCACAAAACAGGAAGCAAAGAGCGGGCAGGAAGTGGGACTGGCCTACAAAACCTCCAGGCCTGCCCAGGAGCCCAGTTCCTCCCTGGGACTCGGTCTTATAAAGGTTCCGGAGCCTTCCACCATAGTGCCACCTGCTGGGGACCAAGTGTCCACGCGCGGGAGTCTTCACGGGAGCATTTCACGTTCAAACCATTCCACACCTGTTCTCGGAGGTTTGGTGCCTACCTGAATAACCCCAGTCAGGAACGTCGTGCTTGCCACCATGCTTAAGGACCCGTTGTAGTTCACGTAGAAGGTCGGCTGAGAAAAGTCTTCCTTGACAAACGTGCCCATGATCAGGTGACCATTGTTGAATGGCCTCTCCTTCAGGACATTGATCAACAGAGCGCTCACAAGGAAGAAGGGGCCTGTGGGAGAAGATTGGGAGACAGATTGCAAGTTTAGAAAAACTAATTATTATTATTATTACTATTACTGTTTCCATCCTCTTTATTTCTTTTTAGATGTATTTATTCACTATGTATACAGTGTTCTCTCTCCATGTTTGCCTGCTTGCCTGAAGAGGGAATCAGATCTCATTATAGATGGTTGTGAGCTGCCATGTGGTTGCTGGGAATTGAACTCAGGACCTCTGGGAGAGTAGTCAGTGCTCCTAACCTCTGAGCCACCTCTCCAGCCCCTTGGATTATTATCGTTGTTGTTTAACACATTATCATTGAGAAGGAAGAAAGAGCAGGGATGGGAACTGGGGTTCCACAGAGCTGGTGGTCCAAGAGTTTCATCTCTTTCTACCGTAGATATAGAGACTGGGATTCAAGCATAGACTGGCTGGAAGTTACCGTTAGGCTTAGCCAGCAGGCCTGCACCTGCAGACTAAGTTAAAAGAGCATGGAGGGCTGGAGAGATGGCTCAGGGGTAAGAGCACTGGCTGCCCTTCCAGAGTTCCCGAGTTCTATTCCCAGCAACCATCTGTAATGAGATGCCCTCTTCTGGTATGCAGGCATACATGCAGGCAGACTATTGTATATGTAATAAATACATAAATCTTAAAAAAAACAACAACAACAAAAAAAAAGAGGGTGGAAACAGGCATGTTGGCACACACTTTTTTTTTTTACATTAACCATAGAGTTTATTACATGGCAGGAGAGCGAGGGGGGGTGGTCGGTCGGGGACATGAGGGGGAGAGATGGGGGGGGTAAGAGCACAGCAAGAGGACAGAGCAAGAGAGTGAAGAGATTTGGCACACACTTTTAACCCCAGCACTCGCGAGGCAGAGACCTCTACGAGGTCGAGTTCAGCCTGGTCTACACGGCAAGTTACAGATTAGCCAGGGCTACACAGTGAGACCCTGTCCAAAGTGGGGGGGAAGGAGGGAGGGCGTCAAGAGTGTCATCAGAACAACAGGAAGAAAATTGCACCCAATGCCCTGAAGGATTAGCCAACGCAACGGGAGATGAAGCTGGCTTCCGGGGGCTCCATTCTGTACCCGTGTGGACACACACACTTGGGACCAAAGGTAACCCTGACCGCTAAAGCCCTAATCCACATTCACCACAGCACCTGAGCATGGCTGTGGGGCTGCTTGGGGATTCGGACATGTGGAGCAAAAGTGTTTGCTTCACACTCAGATGGAAAGGGAACACGTGGCATGTTGGAGTCCTTACTGAAGCAGAGCAACACCCCAGGTCTCGAGGTTGGGGGTGGAGGCCAGGCTGCAGGCAGCCCTGGAGAAGACGTTGAAAGGAATACTAAATGGTCACTTCTGTGAGGCTGCAGTTGGAGCCTCTCCAAAGAGCATTTCTGATTTCTATGCAGGTCTGCGTAGGTTCAGTAAATTTTCTCGTTATATGACCTTAGCTAGTCTAGTCACTTCTTAGTGGACAGACTTCTGACCCAGGGAAGCATCTATGCTGTGGATCTCAGTGTTTTGAGGACTATGACAGTTTTCTTATTGTAAGTTAATTAAGCTCACAGATTATATTGTAAATCATGAAGTTTCATTGTTAGGGACCCAGCTGATGAAAATCACTAGAGACTTAAGGTTTTTTAGATTTATTAGTTTTGTTTTATGTGTGTGGGTGTTTTGCCTGCATGTCTGTGTACTAAACGTGTGGGTGGTGCCCGTGGAGGTCAGAAGACAACATCAGATCCCCTAGAACTGGAGTTATAGATGGTTATAAATAACCATGTGGGTGCTGGGAACTGAAGCCCGGTCCTCTGCAAGAGCAGCAAGTGTTCTTTTTTTTTTTTTTTTTTTTTTTTTGGTTTTTCGAGACAGGGTTTATCTGTGGCTTTGGAAGCTGTCCTGGAACTCGCTCGGTAGTCCAGGCTGGTCTCGAACTCACAGAGATCCGCATGCCTCTGCCTCCCGAGTGCTGGGATTAAAGGCGTGCGCCACCAACGCTCGGCCTGCAGCAAGTGTTCTTAACCACTGAGCTGTCTCTCCAGCCACACAGCTGGTTTTTAGAGGTACTCAAAGCTAAGGATCCTTTTAAGTCTCCAAGACAGACTTCAGACGTGGACTTCTGGACAATGATGGAACTGTAGAGACGATGGAGACAGATTCTGAGAACGACGGAAAGAACTTTGCGCTAGGGGACAGATGTGGGTTTGGGGAGCCAGGGGTTAGGATGCTGTGCTTTGATCTCAGATGTTCCCTAAAAGCTCCTATGTTGAAGTCTTTGTGTTCCTGCCACTGGAAGTGGATGAAGTGGGTCCTTGAGGAGTAACTCTTGTCCCCTGTCCCACGTGTGTGTGTGCATGTGTGCATTCGTGTATACTCATGTGCATGCATGTGTATGTACATGTAGTATGTGTATGCATGATTATGCATGCATGCATGGGTGTGAATTGTCTGTGTTTGTGTATGTGCACATACACTTGTGTGTATATATGTGTGTCTGTGTGTATCTGCATATGTGTTTGTGGGCATACCTGTGTGCACAAATATGTGTGCATGTGTGTGATTGTGTACATGCATACATGAATGTGTCTGTGTCTGCATGTGTGTCTGTGTGTATATATGTGCGTATGTGTCTCTCTGTGTGTGCATGTGCCTGTGTCTGTGTGTATGTCTGTACACGGGCTTCCTGGCTGCCACAGAGAGCTTCTTTGCTCCACCACACACTTCAGACCATGATGCTAAACTTTGGGGTGGCCCAGAAACAGTAGATCCAAGTGACACAGACTGAGACCTCTCAAACCCTGAGCCAATGACAACCTCCCCTGTTTAAGCTGATGCTCCCAAGTATTTCCCTTATGCTGACTGAAAGCTGATGGGCACGGGTTGCTAAGCAACAAGTATGTAACTGACTTCTCATCTGGCTCCTGTGGCTCCAGCACTGAACTCACCGATGGACATCTGATGACATGATCCAAATATTACATAAATGACTGAAGAGCAGAAGGCAGCATAAGTGACATTCAGAGGAGGAATCAGTTGCCTTGTCAGCAAACTAAGAGTCAGGCCTGAAAAGCAAATTAACTTAATTGAGCAAAGACAATAGTTTGGCTTTAAAAGTTACCCTAAGCTGGGTAGTGGTAGCACACACCTTTAATCCCAGCACTGGGTTGGCAGAGGCAGGAGGATCTCTGTGAGTTTGAGCGTAGCCTGGTCTACAGAGTGTGTTTCAGGATAGCCAAGGCTGTTATTCAAAGAAACCCTGTCTCAAAAAAACAAACAAAAAAGTTACCTTAAATAAAAACTGCTACAAATTCTTAGACCATATGTATGTAGCTCTTTACAGTGTCCTAGTTTCCAACATGCTTTTATATTTCAGAGTCTCATATAGCCCAGGCTGGCTTCAAACTCACTATGCATCTGAGAGCGACTCTGAACCTCTGATCCTCTCGTCTCCACCTCCTGAGTGCTGGGATTACAGGTGTAAATCATTGTGCCAGTTTGTGAGTGCTGGAGACTGAACCCCGGCGTTTGTGAACGCTAGCAGACCCTTTACGGCCCGAGGCACAAGCAGTACATCTTAGCCCTGTGGGTCTCACTGAGTGGTTATAACACGAGCATGGAAAAGTGACATTGCAGCCTGGGCTTTCCAGCTCCTGCATCTTGGCACAGTGCTCATCTGCTCCCTGCTCCAGGAGGCCTGGGGTGGGGGCTGGACAGAGGGGTAAGCAGTGCAGATCACTTGCTGCTCTTTCTATGGGCCTTGGGTTGGCTTCCAAGTTTTGGCAGCAGACAGCTCCAATTCCAGGGGATTGGATGCCTCTGGCCTCTGAGGACACCTGTACTAACATGTACAGACATACACATACACACATAAATGAAAGTAATAACAGAAAAAAGGCAGCCCTGGGAATCCTCCAGGGTCAAAGACAGAGATGGAGAACAAGGCAGAAGTCACACAAAACTCACTTGCCTTTAGCATGCCAGACGCAGCCTGTCTCCTATATGCTAACCACCCTCGTCTTTTCTTAGTATTCCCACACAAGGCTTTAAAAATACTTACGGCTGAGTGTGGTGGTGCAGCACTGGGCAGGCACAGGCAGATGGATCTCTGCGAGTTCAAGGCCGATCTGGTTTATACAGTGAGTTCCTACTCTCTACATAGAGAGGCCTTGTCTAAAACTAAGACAAACTACCAAAATTCTTGTTTATTATGTTGTGCGTGCGTGTGTGTGTGTGTGTGTGTGTGTGTGTGTGTGTGTGTGTGTAGGTCAGAGGACAACCATGGGTTCTGAGGATTGAACTCAGACCATCAGGCTTGCAGCCTCAGGCAGTAAGCTCTCTCCCAGCTGAGTTATATCCCAGTCCCCTGTCTGTTGTGGAATATTAATTTAACCGGGCAAAGGTTGTCATATTTGTTTATGCTGTGGAATGTTACTTTAACTATGCGAAGGTGTGTTAACATTTGTTTCTGGTGCCTTTGTTAATGACATAAAGGTGTGTAACCTTTGTGCTGCATGTTTTTAATTATAGAAAGGTGGGGTACATATGTTTCACCTTGCCTGCCTAAGGCGCTCGTTGATCTAATAAAAAGCTAAACATCTGCCAGGTGGTGGTGGTGGCAGCACACCCTTTTAATCCCAGCACTTGGGAGGCAGGGGCAGGCTAATCTCTGTGAGTTCAAGGCCAGCCTGGTCTACAAAGCTACACAGAGAAACCCTGTCTCAAAAACAAAACAAACCAGGTAAACCTCCAATAGCTAGTCAGGAGAGGGATAGATAGGCGGGGCTGCAGACAGAGAAAATAAGCAGGAGGAGGAAGCTAGACTTGAGAAAGAAGGGAGTACAGGAAGAAATGGCGACGGTACGAACGCCATCCCTGTGTCTCCCTTCTGTCCATCCAGCAGAGCTGCTTGTCCCTGAAAGCGGTTGAGGTCCAGTGGATCGGCTTTGGTAAGAAGGCTTTGGATTGCCCTTACCTTGGGGAACTTGAACAAGACCAACACTTAAACCAGCAAGTAAGTCTCCCAGAAGCCAGTCCTTGAATCGATACAAACACATCCACTCTAGGAAGGGAAAGACCGTAAGCATGCATCGTAGGAACTTGTGCCATGAGCAGCTGGGAGAAAGAAGAACAGAGATTCAATTAGGTTCTCCAGGGAGAATCCCCTGGCCAGGTAAAGGCGCAGGGGCCCTATAGTGCAGTTTCTCATCAGCAGGGCCAATGCTTTAACATATTGGACCACAGTATTCTTTGCTGTGGGACTAACTGTGCTATGTATTTCAGGGTGCTCAGCACCCCTGGCTTTTATCCACTAGATGTCAGCAGACTCTCCTCCCCTGGCTTAGAGAAGCAAAGATATTGAGAAATATCCCCAGAGGACAAACCACCAGCAAGGTGTATCCAGTAAGAACTGAGACTCACGTGCCCGGGTACAGTCCGTCCTGTGTTTTTATCGGCTGTTTGTGAGAGTCAGACTTCAGAACTTACCTACTTCTTTTTTGTTTTTCAAGACAGGGTTTCTCTGTGTAGTTTTGGAGGCTGGCCTGTAACTCACTCTGTAGACCAGGCTGGCCTAGAACTCAGAGATCTGCCTACCTCTACTTCCTGAGTGTTGGGATTAAAGACTTGTAGGAGAGAATGAACTATCGCCGTCTCTTCCTTTTAACAGTGTTTTGGGGGCTGGAGAAATGACTCAGTGGTTAAGGATAATGGTTGCTCTTACAGAGGAACTGGGTTCAGTTCCCGGCATCCACATCATTGCCTACAACATCATTTAACTCCAGGCTCTGGGATTCCAGTCCCTCTTCTGGCCTCTGCTAGCACCACACACACACGGTGCACACACATACATGCAGGCAAAATACTCACACACATTAAAAAGGCAAAACGAAACAGCTTTTTGCTGTTACGAGATCAATGGGATAGCTGGGCGTTGGTGGCACAGGCCTGTAATCCCAGCACTCAGGAAGCAGAGGCAGGAGGGTCTCTGTGAGTTCAAGGCCAGCCTGGTCTACAGAGCGAGTTCCAGGACAGCCAGGACTACACAGAGAAACCCTGATGGGGGATGTCTTTCTGTATGCTGTGAATATGTGTTCCTCTCATTGGTTGATGAATACAGCTGTTTCTGCCTATGGACAGGCAGGATTCAGCCAGGTGGGAAATCTAAATTTGGGAGGGGGGACTGGAGGTCGAGTGCTTGCCTAGCACGCACTGAGAAGGCTAAGTCTCCAGCACCACACAGACCAGATGTGGTGTATGTATTGCACACCTATAAATCTCAATACTCAGGAGGCGGTGGCAGGAAGACAAGCTCAAGATCATCTTTGGATACAGGGTGACTTTGATGCTAACCTGGATGGCATAACCTGTCTTTAAAAAAAAAAAAAGGGAAGAAGGGAGGAAGGGAGGGAGGGAGGGAGGAAGGGAGGGAGGCAGGAAGGAAGCAAGGAAGGAAAACATTGCCAGGTGTGGTGGCACACTTTAACGCTAGCACTCAGCAGACAGAGGGTGGCAGAGTTCAAAGCCAGACTGGTCTACAAAGGAAGTTCCAGGCTGCCAGAACCACACAGTAAGAACCTGTCTCAAAAAAAATCACCAACCAACACGCCAGCCAACAAAAACACACAGCATCAGCACTGCCACCAAAGCAGAAACAAATTCATGCTCTAAAAGGTCAGTGTGAAAAGCTGAGTCCAGTGGCACACACCTGCAGTCCCAGCTACTGCAGACGGGTGCTGAGGCAGGAGGATTACTTACGCCCATGAACCAACCTGGGCGGCATAATGGCACCCTATCTCCATACAAAAACAAAGTGTCACTGTTGCTGAGACCAAGTAATCCTACACAGTAGCTTTCGATTATCTAAAGCAGTGGTTCTCAACCTTGCTAACGCTGCGACCCTTTAATACAGTTCCTCACGTTGTGGTGATCCCCCAGCCATAAAATTATTTTCATTGTTATTTCATAATTGTGTATTTGCTACTGTTATGAATTATAATGTTAAGTATCTGTTTTCCGGTGGTCTTAGGTGACCACTGTGCAAGGGTTGTTTGACCCCCCTCCCAAAGGGGTCGCAACCCACACGTTGAGAAACACTGCTATGGAGGAAGGCCTCAATCTACTGACGGGTAAAAACCAGTTTGACTTTAAATTGCCTTTTGCCATTTATGCTCTGGCATGGACTGGCGGCAGCCTGGGTGGTTCTCTTCATGTACATGTTGGGCTAGATAACAACAGATATAACATTACCATGTGTACCACTAAAGTGTGTGCTCAGAAAAGAGGTGCCTCCAGGATTTAAACATCTTTAGAGTCATTTATTTCATATGCATCAGTGTTTTTGCCTGTGTGTAAGTATGCGCCCCATGTGCATGCAGTACCCAAGGAGGCAGGAAGAGGGCACCGGATCCCCTGGCACTGGACTCACGGATGGTTAAGAACCGCCTTGTAAGTGATGGGAACTGAACTTGGCTCTTAACTGCTGAGCCATCTGTCCAGCCCTGGCCCCATGTATTTGTCTTTCATGACCATAAGCCCCTCTAAGGTACATAAGGCCAAATAAGTAGGAATGACTTTCCCAGAGTCATGAGCAGAGCTGGGTCAGGGAGTTGTGTCTCCTGACACCTAGCTCAGTGTTCTAGCCTTTCTACAAACTCTGAGCCCCCCCTGCTGACAGAGGCTCCATTCTGCTGAAGGAGCAAGGCCACTGGTTTGGGAGGAATGCGAGTTGCTATTTTCATGAGGGTTTCTGGGTTCCAGGTAGGTGTACAATCATCATCAGGGGGTGGGAGTGGGTGGGGGGATGGGGCGGGTTAGAGACAGGATCCTCCAAAGCAGAGCAAGCCTGGCATGTGCAGTGGGAAACAACCAGGACATGTAGTATCTCTAAGGAGGGGGAAGGTAAGGACCAACGCCCAGAGCTGCTGTCAGACCCCATCCCCCCCACCATGCACACACGTACTCCAGCACACCAAGGAATGTGCATGGCTTGCTGGCACACGTCTGTATCATCAGCACTTGGGAGGTAGAGAATCAGAAGATCAGTAGTTCCGGGTCATCCTTGGCTACACTATAAATTTGAGGACAGCCTGAGCTACATGAGAGCCTGTCTCAAACAGGAGAGTGCGGAGTATAGTTGGTAAGAAAGCACAGGGGGGCATTTTGACATAAAAGGGGGCATGGGCAGTTGTCAATCAAGAAGAAAATGAGGAAAGAGATAAGATGTTTTTCTGCGAAAGGAAGAGATAAAGTTAATAGATTATTTTATTTACTAAAAACGTTCCTCAAGACCAGAAAACCAAAACCACTTATCTAGTGTTTACTATTTCCTAGATATTTTAAAAAAATCCTCTAAGTCCTCCTAATAGATCCCAAGCAGGTGCCATCATCATTCCCCTGGCACAGGAGGGCCAGATAAGTTACCTACAGCCACACAGCTGGGCAGGAGCAGAGACCAAGAGGAAACAGGAAACGAGAACCACGCCTTGAGTGCCCTGCTGGCCTAGATTTCTGGTTAAAACTCAGAAGAGACTGGAATTGTGTTCTAGAAGCAGGAATATGAAGAGACAAGAAAGAAAAACGCATAAGCAGTAAAAGAAAAGATTTTAAAAACAGAAGCTGAGACTCGGAGCATCTGTCAAAGCCCACGGGAGGAGCTGGAAAGACGGCTCAGAGGTTAAGAGCAGGAACAGTCTTGCAGAGGACCAGAGTTCAGTTCCCAGCACCTTTGTCAGTCAGGGGTCACAACTGCCTGCTGCTCCAGCTCCAGGAGATCTAACGACCTCTTCTGGCCCTCATAGGCAGCTGCACATACATGCATACAGATACATACACATAAACAGACACACACACACACACACACACACACACACACACACACACACACACACGCATGAAGTGTTTTATAGACAGGGTCCCATGATGTACCCCTGGCTGGCCTGGAACTCTAGGTAGAGCAGTTGGAGTCTTTGCCCGCTGAGTGCTAGGCTTAAAGGCTTGTGCTACCACCAGACCTTAAATTAAAAAAAAAAAAAAAAGGAAAGAAAAGAAAAGAAAAAGAGAAAAGAATGCCCACAGGAAGCAGATCGTCTTATTTAAGCGTCTAGATGGACTGCTGGAGCGGGTAGAGATCAGGCAGGTTCAAGTAACCTTGGTAATAATTGTTTACAAGGTTAAAGTTATGAAAAGACAATCATTCTGTCTTTTTTTTTTTTTTTGTCTGCTTGCATGTGATTCTAGGGGCCAAATGCAGGGTCTTGTACCTGCCCAGGGCCTTGCACCTGCTCTGGTGGGAAACGTCTCCTCTGACACACATTCCCTTGTGGTGCCTGGGGCACAGGAAGTCAGGGTGGGGCACAGAAACAGAGCGGGGCGGGGCCATCCAACTGCAGCTTGCACAAGGCAGGATATGAATAAAGGGAGTGGAGCATCTGAGGCAGAGGTGTAGGGAACTTGGCTATCAGCAACTGCAGGCCAGATTGTGACAGGCAGGCAGGGGATAAGGGACAGATAAGACCGGATGTGGGGGAGGACAGCTGGAGTAGTGACAGTCACCCTTGTGATGGAGACCACACAGGGTTCTTCTCCTCTGGGCTAATGGACCCTGGAGGTCGTACGCAGAATTGAGGTGAATGGGGGGGGGGCTAGAGACTCATTGTTTTCACTAGCTTCGGGTTGAAATTTCCTATTTCCTCTAATTTATGGGTTTTTGTTTGCTTGTTTGTTTTGAGACATCTTGCTCTGTAGCTATCTGGCATTGTATGTAATTTAGGCTGACCTCAGCTCATGACAATCCTGCCTCAGCCTCCCTGGGGTTATAGGCATGTGCCACCGTGACTGGCTCCTTCAGAAATTAGGAACATTGACTTGTAAACTGAAGTAGAAGCCCCAGACCTGAATGCTGTAACCATATTACTATTGCTATAGATATCTTGAAATATTATTTACATTCCTTACTTCCTTGAAACTATGGTTTTCACTATGGTAGTTACTGGATCCATTGAGAGATAGAGAGATAGTTAGACAGACAGATAGAAATGATTTGGAACATTGACTATAAATTGAAGTAGAAGCCCCAGACCTGAATGCTGTAACCATATTACTATTGCTATAGATATCTTGAAATATTACATTCCTTACTTCCTTGAAGCTATGGTTTTCACTATGGTAGTTACTGGATCAACAGATAGATAGATTGATAGACAGACAGACAGACAGATAGAAATGATTTTGTTTGTTTGATTGATTTTGAGATGAGATTTCTCTATGTAGCCCAGGCCACCCTGGAACTCTGTAGACCAGGCTGGCCTCAAACTCAAAGATCCTCCTGCCTCTGCCTCCGAGCACTGGGATCAAAGGTGTGCCCCACCACCATCACCCAGCTCACTAGATTTAATACAACTCTTTTTCCTTATAATTGTATCTGGGTTTTTTTTGTTTTTTTTTTTTTGTTGTTGTTGTTTTGTTTTTCGAGACAGAGTTTCTCTGTATTATTTTTTGGACCATGTCCTGGAACTTGCTCGGTAGACCAGGCTGGTCTCGAACTCACAGAGATCCGCCTGCCTCTGCCTCCTGAGTGCTGGGATTAAAGGCGTGCACCACCACCGCCGGGCTTGTATCTGTTTTTTTTATATTATTAAATTACCAGCCTGGGCAGCTTAGCAAGCCTCTGTTTCAAAATAAAAAGTAAGCAGAGCATTGGATGTAGCTCATGAGGCCCCAAATTTAGTCTCTACTAAAAGATAAAGGAAAAAAGAAAGAAATAAAGTAGGAAAGAAAGAGCTAAAGTATAAAATTCTTAGGCTAAGACATAGATTGAGTTTTTATCGAAGTGAGATCTTTGCAGGGCTGGAGAGGTGGCTCAGGGCCTAAGAGCACTGCTGCTCTTCCTGAGGCCTAGGGTTTGGCTCCCAGCACCTCGTGGTGGCTCCCAGATGTCTGCAGTTGTATCCTCAGGGGATCTGACAGTCCCCAGCTCCACATGCACCTGCACTCACACGCACTTACCCACACACACAAGCTCACCCTGCACACAGTTAAAAATAATTACTGCACTCACACGCACTTACCCACACACACAAGCTCACCTTGCACACAGTTAAAAATAATTTAAAAAAAAAGTTTTTGCTTGTCTTCTTTTTTCTGAGACAGGGTTTCTCTGTGTAACCCTGGCTGTCCTGGAACTCACTCTGAAGATTAGGCTGTCCCAGAGATCTGCCTGCCTCTGCCTCCCCAAAATAAATACTTTTAAAAGGCTCTAGTGGAGGGAAATGACAATTTACAGAGCTAAGAAATGAATGAAGGCTTTTTTTTTCCTCTGAAGATACAAGAGTGGTCAATACACACAGGAAAAAGTTGTTCTTTTCTTCATGAGAAAAACATGGACCAAAATTAAAAAAAAAAAACAACACAAAGAGACACCACCTCATACCTGCTAAAATGGGGCTAATTCAAAAGACAGAAGGGAAATTTGGGGGAGTGCAGAAAACTGGAATCCTTGTAATGTGAAACTGTGCCAGCATTGTAGAAAGTAGCGTGCCATCCCCCTCAGAAGTGAATGAGTGAGGCAGAGTACACCTGTAATCCCAACCTTCAGGAGGCTGAGGCAGGAGGACAGTGGGTTTGAGGCTAGCCAGGATTAATATTGAGACCCCCATCTCAAAGAAACAAAACAAAAAGCACGGAGGGTAGGGTAGGGAGCCCGCTTGCCTGGCAAAGGACCCGCTTCACAAGCATGAGGAGGGCCTCCAGACCCCCAGTACAGGGAAGAAGGAACCAGGTGGGCAGTGCAGCCTGAAGTCCGCAGCTGGGGCAGTGGAGACTGAAGGGGTTCCTGCAGCTCACTGCTCAGCCAGCCTAGCTGAATCCAAGAGCTCTCGGCTCAGTGAGAGACCCTGACTTGAACCTTAAGGTAGGAAGCCATAGAGCGAGATGTTTGACATCAGCCTCTGGCCTCTGTGTGTTTGTAAACACACGTGTGCGCATCTATATGGACATGTGTGCACACACGTGTGTGTATCTATATGAGCATATGTGCACACAAGTGTGCGCATCTATATGGACATGTGCGCACACAGCTGCACACAGAACTGTCATATGACCTGAGAATTCTACCCTGAGGCAGGGTTCTGAGAGAATTTTTTTAAAAAAGGCATTGAAACGGAGCATACATTCACAGCAACGTTATTCTCAGGGGCCAAAAGACGGGAACAACCCAAGTGTCCATTAACAAATGGGTGGACAGAGAGAGTGTAAGCGAAACACTAGGAATCTTTACTCTGCCATAGAAGAAAGGAAGTGTGCTGGCACTTGTTATAATGCGGATGAATTGGAAACATGGTATTAAATGAAACAAGCCAGACACAGAAAGACAAATGCTGTGTGGTTCTGCTTGGATCACAAGGGACGGGTTCGTAGCTTAATCTCAAAGAGGCAGCAGACTCCTGGGGACCAGAAGTAGAGGTGGGGAGAGAGGCAGGAGCCATTGCTTAATCAGTACAGAATTTCTGTTTGAGGTGGTGAAAAAGTTATGCAAACCAACTGTGGTGGTAGTTGCACAATAACAATTATGCCACAAAATCCCACACTTACAAATGGTCAAAACAGAGCCAGGTGGTGGTGGCACACACCTTTAATCTTAGCGCTTGGGAGGCAGTGGGTCTCGGTGAGTTTGAGGCCACCCTGGTGGTCTACAGAGTGAGTTCCAGGGCAGCCAGGACTACACAGAGAAACTCTGCCTCAAAAAGAAAACAAAAACAAAAATAAAACAAGACAAAAAAAGGTCAAAACAACCAGCTTGATAGCATATATCTTTTACACACACACACACACACACACACACACACACACACACACACACACACACACACTAGCAGTCTGAGGGCACAGCTCATTGATAGAGCCCTTGCCTAGCACATGGCAAACACCCACAGACCTAGCACTGGAGGTGTGGGCGGGAAGGTCAGGACTTCCGGCGAGGCTGGACACCACGGGGAGTGTGAGGCCAGTCGGGGTATATGAGACCCTGCCCTGAAGAAGGAAACAAGCTAATGAAATTATTCGGAAAAGACGTCCTTTCACTCTGTCTGTTTGCCAAGGGGTTCGTCGCACAGAAACAGGCTGAGAATCCCTCGCTAGTCAGGGTGGGAGCCAGAGGCCGTGTGTACTCTCTGTTGATGGCCGAGCTGTGGTCGTTAGAAGGATCTCTTTGTTTGGTCCATCAGAGCTGTCCAGCTTTCTGTGGGACTGCTAATGGTAGCTGGTGCTTTATTACATTTATCTAACATGGAGTGGAACAGGAAACCGCTTTGTAGAGGCATTTCTCTCTTTCCACCCGGTGGGTCCCAGGAATAGAACCCAGGTCCTCAAGGCTTGGCAGCAAGCGCCTTTACCCACTGAGCCATTTCGCCTGCCTTGGTTGAACAATGTGTTTATTAGCTGTGATCCTGAGATATGGCGGGAGGTCTCTATGCCTACAGTGACTGGACTGTGGCTGGTCTCACAAAGGTTCCAGGGCTGAGAGCTTGGTTCCCGTAGAGGCCATGTTTGGAAGTAGCAAGTAGGGAGACCTCGGCTGCAGGAGCCCCTCCCTCATGCCTGCATCTGGCTCCTGTGGGGCTGACCTAGTGCCCACCGGGAGAGCAGGCTTTATGAGGTGAGCTGCCCTGAGTCTTGGCCACTTGGCAGCCTCCTTTTCCACTTCTCAGCTCCACTGTGACACAGCAGGGGGTCCTCACCAGGAAACCAGAACCCATTGGCTATCAGAATTATGAGCCAAACAAACCTTTTACTTACAAGTTACTCAGCCTTTCACCTTTTGTTATAGTGGAATACCAGAAGACAGGCTAAAAGACAATGCCAGAGACGTTGATAACCAGAGGACCCTGCAAGACACACACAGACACTCACCCCCCCCCCACACACACACACGTTTTTGCTCCTGCCTGGCTTGCTGGCCACCGAGAGGCTGAGAACACGCACCGGCACTGGACATGGTGCTTGAAGGTGGTGATGCTGACGTCCACGTTTCCAGAAGAGGCAGCCTTCCTCCTGTGCTCCTGCTGGAAGTTCTCCTCATTGTACACGTTTCGCTTGACATCGTACACAAAGGGGACTTGCCTGTATCTGCTGCCCAAACTATGGGCGCTCCTCTCTGTTTGCATCCTCCCTGGATGAAGTGGAAAGATGTCAGGTTAAAAGCAGGCATTAGGGCTGATGAGATGGCTCAGTGGTGAAAGGTGTTGGCTGGCAAGCCTGATGACCTGTGTTCAATCCGGGGACCCATGTGAGAAGAGTACTGACTCCTACGAGTTGTCTTCTGATTTCACATACAATCTGTGGCAACATGCCATTCCCACCACCAAATAAACAAATTTAATAAAAAATATTTAGGGCTGGGTGTAGTAAGCAGAGACAGAAGGATTTCTGAGTCTGAGGACCGATTGCATAGAGAGACTCTGTCTCAAAAGATAAGCACATTTTTTAGAAATTTACATCATTAGCACTTTTCTTGATTATTTGTTTATTTATTATGTATAGTGTTCTGCCTGCATGAATGCCTGTAGGCCAGAAGAGGGCGCCAGATCTCCTTATAGATCCTTGTGAGCCACCATGTGGTTGCTGGGACTTGAACTCAGGACCTCTGGAAGAACAGTCAGTGCTCTTAACCTCTGGGTGTAGGAAGTTCCTCAGCATACCACAATGATTCAGCCACAGCCACAGTTTAGGCCCTGACCTGTAAAACAGATATCACATCCTAAGGCCACATGACCTAGCGTGACACTGATGATCCCGGCCTGGGGAATGGAAAAGAACTCTTTGAGCAGGTGAGTCGAGACCCAGCTCAGGTGGGGGAAGAGGAATAGCTGCTTCAGGGAGAGGACTGGACACAATGAGAGATGACATAAGGGAACTAATTCAGACCATCTGAGTCATGCCAGCTTTTAGCTGGGGGTGGAGTCTAAGGTGTTCCCGGAAGAGGGCCAGTGAAAGGACTCTGCACCATGCCTGACAACCGGAGTCTGATCCCTGGGATCCTCGTGGTGGAAGGAGAGAACCTACTCCCACAGTTGTTATCTAACCTGCACTCAGCAGAGGGGCCTGCCTGCATCTATGAGCACACACCAAACTGTTCCTAGAGGGAGCTGGGTATGGTGGCACAGGCCTGTAATCTCAGCACTTGAGACACAGAGGTAGGAGGGTCAGGGGTTCAAAGCCAGCCTCTGTTACATAGCAAGCTCGAGGTCAGCCTGGGCTGTATGAGACCTTATTTCAAAATAAACAGAACCACATTGCCAAATAAAAGTCCTTTCAGCAGGGCCCTGGATGTGTGACCTGTCCCGATGTTTTAGTTATCTGGAGTCTGAGCAGGAGTCATGTACACATGGGATATACTTGAGACAGAGGGAGTCAGAGGTACTGTCTTGAGCTGTATGGTCCAGCACACTGAGCCATTGGCTACTAAAGTTACTACTTAATTGTGACTTTCATAAAGTGAAGATTTTAAATGCTCCCCTGGCAGTGGCTCACGTACATGGTTCACACATGGCTCGCACACAGCTGGTGGCTTCCTACCTGCATGGTGCAAATACAAACCTTTCTGTCAGCAGGGGAAGCCGATCTGAACAGTGCTGGAGAGGAAGAGGTCAAGGCCAAAGGGCCAGTCAGAGACTCTCAGCGTCACACCAGTGTAGGGACAGGTTAGTAAGTCATTTAGAAAAAGCTGGAAAGAATGAAACCAACCGACCAACCAAACAAGCAAAACCATGGAGCCACGGTGGAGAGACAGGTGGAATGAATGCTGCCTGTAATGTCTGGTCATATGTCTGCCTGAAGCAACAAGGGCAGACTCATGACTTCTTTATTAGTCTTGTCAGAAATCTCAGGAATTGCTCCACGACTCTCTGTATATGGGTTTGTGTGTGTGCATGCTTGTGTGTGGTGTGTTTGTGTGTGTGTGCATGTGGGTGGTGTATGTGTGTGGTGTGTTTGTGTGTGTGCATGCTTGTGTGTGGTGTGTTTGTGTGTGTGCATGTGCATGCATGTGTGTGGTGTATGTGTGCTGGAGTTGAGGGACAGGGGTTCTTTTTTGTAAAAAGTTATTTATTTTTATTTTCTTTTTACATGTATATATGTTCATTGTGTGTGCCTAGTGTCCTCAGAGGCCAGACGAAATCGCTTGGAACTGGAGCTACAGATAGCTATGAGCCACCATATGGATTCTGGGAATTGAACCTAGGTCCTCTGCAAGAGCCTCTTAACCACTGAGCCTGGTCTTAGGCCCTCCATCTCACTTTTGAGACAGGGCCCCTTACTCAACAGGAGTTCACCGGTTCAGTCAGACAGGGTGGTCATAAGCTCCCTGTTCCTTCCAACCCCAGTTTTGTTGTGTCTGAACTCAGGTCCTCATGTTTTCTCAGCAAGTGCTTTACTGATGGAACCATCTCCCAAGCCCCTCCATCTCTTTTTTTGCTTTCATAAGAACCCCAGCAATGTCTCCACATCAGCAGGACTCTTTCTGTCATGTTGGGACATGCAGAACTTCCCACTGATATGTAGACCACACCGAGAAAGACCTCCTGAATCAGAAGTTCTGGGGGCAGCTGGGTTTTAAGAAGTCTTAAGGGCACTGGGTGAGCTGAGTTTACTGGTGCATGCCTTTAATCTCAGCAGGCAGATAGATCTCTGAGTTCCAGGCCAGTCAGAGTGAGGCCTTGTTTTGGGGTGGGGGCAGCAGAGGTGGCAGCAACAGTAGCAACAGTGTGACTCTGATATAGAGTAACATATAAGGGTGCTATAATCTAAGCTAGTTATCTTTCTGGTTTTGGCTTTCTTAATTTTTAATTTTAACTTTTGAGACAGGATCTCACATAGTCTAGCTGGCCTTGAAATCCCAATCCTCCTACCCTATCAATCAAACAAATGCTGGGATTACAGATGTATGTCACCATTCATGCCTTAAGTCCTTTTTTTTTTTTTTCCTGTGGTGGGAATGCACCTGGGAGCCTCACATGCTAGGATGCTCCACTCGGAGCTGTAGTCCCAGCCTTTAATTATCTTTAATCAGGCTCTCACTGCTAAGTTTAGAACACTATTAAAACACAAGCGCTTTAGCCCAGCTCTTTCACAACTTCCACTGTCTCAGCCATCATCCATGCATCATCCACCCACCCACCCACCCATCCATCATCTAACCACTCACCCACCCACCCACCCATCCAACCATCATCCTTCCATCCATCATCCATCCACCCATCTATCCATCATCCACCCATCCATCACCCACCCACTCACCCATCCATCCATCATCCATCCATCTGCCCACCCATCATCCATCCATCATCCACCCACTCACCCATCCATCATCCATCCATCCATCCATCATCCATCCATCCACCCACTCACCCACCCATCATCCACCCACTCACCCACCCATCATCCACCCACCCATCCATCATCTAACCACTCACCCATCCATCCATCATCCATCCACCCATCATCCTCCACCCATCCAGCATCCATCCATCTGCCCACCCATCCATCCATCCATCCATCATCCATCCATCCACCCACTCACTCACCCATCCATCATCCATCCATCCATCCATCATCCATCCATCCACCCACTCACCCACCCATCATCCACCCACTCACCCACCCATCATCCACCCACCCATCCATCATCTAACCACTCACCCATCCATCCATCATCCATCCACCCATCATCCACCCATCCAGCATCCATCCATCTGCCCACCCATCCATCCATCCATCATCCATCCACCCATCCATCATCCACCCACTCACCCATCCATCATCCACCCATTCACCCATCCATCATCCACCCACTCACCCATCCATCCATCCATCCATCTACCCACCCATCCATCATCCATCTATCCACCATCCATCCATCATCCATCTATCCATCATCCATCCATCATCCATCTATCCATCATCCATCCATCCATCATCCATCCATTATCCATCTACCCACTCACTGATACAAAGAATCTCCATTTGGAATATGTAAAAGCAAAAAAGGTAACCTGATATATAAAATTTTGATACAACATGTGATCCCAACCAAAACTACTCATTGCCTGTGACTCTGTTTTGATGGAGAATGTACAGGAATATGGCAAAGGGTGAGCAAGCTCCATTGTCTAGTGGCAGGGGCTAAGTGAAGGTGACAGCCCTCCAGCTGCTTACCACAGGTCACATACACACAGGACACCTTCCTTTAGCGTTGCCAAGAGGGTGTGTTGGAGAGACACTCATCACTGGGCAGAAAGGGGAAGGCAAGGGGGGACCCAATGCATAATCCATAAACAGGGATTTGACTGGCAGACAGACTAGGCAGAAGGGGTGGAGTGCAAGATGCAGCCAGCCAGAACAAAGTGAGCAGAAGCAGCGAGGTCTGAAAGGATGAGGAGTCCTGGGCTGAGGCCCGATGAGGGAGGACACAGACAGGATGGCAGTGTGGCAGGCTTCTGACAATACAGAGAGAACTGTGACAGGACCCGGCCTGCAAAACCCACTTTTGTCTCCTGCTACTGCTGTTTCACTCGGCCTTTCTATATCAGAGAGAAGTTCCAGGGATCCCCCCCCCTCCCTCCCTCCCTCCCTCCCTCCCTCCCTCCCTCCCTCCCTCCCTCCCTCCCTCCACCCACTCCTTGCGCAAATAATTCAGAGAGCCCGGGACCCTCCTGGCTCTGCAGGTGACCCAAGCAGCCCCGCCCTGGGACGCTCCGCAGCCTCTCGGCTCCCGGGCTGCGGCCAGCGCTCCCGATGGCTCCCGACCAAGGCTCACCTGGTTCCTGGTGGCCTGCGGGAGCCGCAGACGCTGGGGTCAGATTCGGCTCCAGCCTGTCTGGCAGCGGCGCTGCGGACGCGGAGGCCGGCAGTTCCCGAGCCGTTGCCGCAGAACCCGCCGGCGTTCCGGCTGTGCGGGTGACGGGCAGGAAGGTGTAGGTGACACCTGGGGCGAGGAGAAGGGTACCTGGCTGCCCCACACACATCTGGGCCGTGGGAACCCTGGGGATCCTCTAGAAACATCCACGAGAATAAGACGCCCTTCCCTCCTGCTCAGAGTAACAAGCATAGGCATGCTTTGATCATGGCGGGGTGGGTGTAGATAGGTAGGGGTTGAACTTTCCCCAGTCACATTTCTTATTAGCTTTCACCGACGATTCCATTAGGTGGCAATGTTTTTCCTCTTCCAGAAACAGGAGCCAGGGCCCAAGGCCAACAGATTTGTCTAAAAGTTAGACAAAAGTCAGAACTCATTGCCCTGTTCCCCACGCTCCCAGAGGCATGAGTTAAGTCTTTAAAATTCTCTAAGTTTAGATTCTTAAGATTCTCCGAAGTTTCCTTTAAATTTCTACAGTCTGGATGGTTCTAATGGGCAGGAGTCAGTCTCAAGCACCAGTAATGGGTTTTGGGGTGTTTGAGATATGGTCTCATAGTAAGTAGCTCAGGCTGACCTGTAACTACTCACTGTATATGCGTGTGTGTGTGTAAAATATTCATATATATTACATTCATATACATGGAAGAGGAGACCTTCCTGAAATAGAATGACCTGCCTGCGCTTATGTGTGTGTGCGCGCGTGTATACATACTTCCCTTACCCTTCCAGTACGGGAATTGAACCCAGGACCTCGCTAGCTAGGCAGGTCCCGAGCCCGACCGTGCACATTCTCGATGTCTACCTCTGACCTTGCCCATTAGACTACCTGTGGGCCCGTGGAATTTCCTTGTGAACCATCCAGGGAAGTTCTTCAGCTTGGGAAAAACTTAAGGGCTCCTAGGAGCGTCTGGAGGGGACAGCCTGGGCTTTAAGGCAGGGTTGGCCTTCGCCCGAACCCCGCGAGCATGCGAGCGAGCGAGCCCTGTGTCCTGGGGGTCGGCTAGGAACGCTGCAGCCTTCGGCGCAGGGCCTGTCTGCTCCTGCAGGGGTTTCTTGGAAACAACTGCGGGCTCCAGTGAGCAGGTGGCTGCGAGTTCAAGGACCTCCGGGCTCCTTTCCCCCGACACCGTCCCGGTGGCTTCCCGCCACGGCGCCAGGCGTTCTCCAAGCTGACCACACAGAGGCGCGCGCGGCACGCACGGCGGCGGCCGCCTCCTCCGCGCCCTGGACGGAGCCCAGCGCCCGAGAGAGTTCCTGCCTCGGCGCCCGCAGCGGGCTCTCTCTTCTCGCGAGAGCCGCCGCCTCCTGCGCGCTCCTCTCGTGAAGGCCCCCCCTCCCACGGGCGGGTTCCATATTGGGTAAGATCTCGGCTCGCCCCGCGTCAGCCTCCGGGAGCCGTTCTCGCGAGAGTTCCGCGAGAAAGGCTCCCGGTCGTTGCCTGGAGGACCGCGGCCACAGGGAGCCCGAGCGGGCGCTGGAGCGCGAGCGGCTGTCGTGCAGGCGTCTGGCCCCGGGGGCCGCGGCTGCAGGGGGGGGTGGGAAACCGCGGCGGGAGCAGCCTCGAGCCGCGCAGCCGGCTCCCGCACGTTGCCGAGGCTCGCGAGCGCCGCCGCGGCTGACTTGGGGGCCGCGCGCCGGGGGTCGCAGACGTCCACACCTGCGCGGGCGGCGGGTCCGGCCAGCCGCGGGCGGGCGGGCGCTGCACGCAGGGGCTCACCCGCTGCCCCCTCCCCCGAGCTCGGCCACCTCCTCGCCCCGCGGCCGCCCGCTGGAAGATGTCTCAGGAGAGGCCCACGTTCTACCGGCAGGAGCTGAATAAGACCATCTGGGAGGTGCCCGAGCGATACCAGAACCTGTCCCCGGTGGGCTCGGGCGCCTACGGCTCGGTGTGGTGAGTGTCGCCGGGCCTCGGGGTCGGGGGACGCGCGGGAGCAAGCAGGGTGGCCCTGCATGCATGCATGCATGCCTGCCTGAGCGCCAGGCCCGTCCCCACAGCTCAGCGATGCGCCCAGCGGCAGGAATTCTCCTCCGGGCGTGTGTGTGCGTGTGCGTGCGGGGATGCGGGGGGCAGTCGGAGCGGCGTGTGTCCTGCACCCCTCGCACTGCACGCGCGGGTCTCTGGCGAGCCATGTGCAGGAGCGGGTCAGCCGTGGGCGCCCCGCGACGGTGCTCCACCCTGCGCTCCCCCAACCCCCTCCGCTTAGAAGATTGCTGCTCCCGGGGTCCCTCCGCAGTCGCGCAGCCGAGGGACCCCGTCCCCGGGTGCGGCCACTTGGGACGCAGGAGCCCTGCCCTGGAGAGCGGAGGAGCCGGGCGGAGCTTCTGCGAGGAGCAGTAGGGCAAAGCCTGACCCGGGGACTGCGGTCACCTGAACGAAACTTGCAAGAAAAAAAAAAGCGCTCCCTTCCCGGATTTTTTTTTTCTTGCAAGCCCCCATTGGGGAGGGTCTAGTTTAGGAAAGGTTCTTTTGGAATTCGCACATGAACTAGCAGCGCCCCGAAGAGCCTGGAATACTGACTTTATCTCGAGGAGCGCGGTGCCAGCTTGCGTGGTGTGTTTCCAATTCGGTTGAAAGCGTATTTCCTTTTCGGGGCGGGAGGGTGGCAGCGCCTGCAAGGACGCTACAGCTCGCCGCTTAGTCACATACCACTGCTCATTTCAGTATTGTTTGACAAAACAGTTTTTCCATGCGGAGCCAGAGGGACTCCAATCCGTTGGGCTTTCCCAAGATCAAAACGGCAGGACTAGTGATCAGAGGTGCAAATAGTTTTTTAATTGAAGTCATTCCTGGAGATGCTTTTCTTTTTTACGTCCCTTTGAAGATTTGCAGGGGAGCTTTGTCAGCTTTTTTTTTTAAAGGCCTGAAGTACATGGTTTTCGTGAGAGCGTATAACTTATAAAGCAAAGGAAACAATGTTCTTCAGTTTTCATTCACACCGTGGTTTTGATTCTTTGTTGTTCGTTTGAGACGATGTATCTCCCTGGTTGGCCTGAACCTCACTCTCCTGTCCTGGAGCTTACACAGATGCTGAGAATAAAGGCTTTTACCACCCTTCAAGGCCCTGGGAGTGGATTTCAAATTAAATGCATACTATAAAATATCCACTCCAGAAATGTTTGAGGAACTTTCAAGGGTTCATACAGTGTCTTTTAGGCTTACTGTCTTCTTAGAGCTCCTGTCCTGAGAGTAAACACCAGGTTCCACAGTTTAGCTGTTCATGTGCTGTAGTAATTTATATGCATTCCTGTTTTCGAAAGTTTGTGAAATGGTTTGTTTTGTTTTGTAACAAATTCCAGGCTTCTGAATGTGTTAATCTTTAAGTATGAGTCCTGTGTTACTTAAAGTCACACCATGAATTTCCTGTTTGGTAGAATCTTCTGGGTAATTGAGATTGAGCAATGGTGTCCAGCAACAGATCGTATTTCATCTGTGGGTGCAAGCTGCTTAAGTTATGTTGCTGAAGGCACCAGCCCTGACATTTCTCCCATGTTTACAGTATGGCAGTCCGTCTCTTATGGGTACTTGTGACTGGTCTGTTATCTTCATTCTCTAGTAGCTAAGAGCTCATTAGCATGCCTCCATCTTTCATTCCTAATTGTTACAGTTTGGGGCTTTGGTTTCCATTTGGATGTTCAGGGAGTGATGCAATAGAACAGCTCCACTGTCGGGCATCCTGGCAGCCGGTGAGCTTGCCGGGTTTCCTATGGACGCCACTGTCCTGGCAGAAGAGCCAGGTTTGCAGTGACGTTCAGTGGTGAAGTGCCGTTAAAACCAACGCTCACTTCCTCTGGTGCTGTTCTTTCTCTTCTACGAGACAGAATTGAGCAGCACAGCCTCACAGTCGGAAAGGACTTTTACCAAACAGCTTCTTAAAAGTAGGTGATACAGGACCAGTGATGTCACTCAGACCAGGCCCCCGGCCTTGCCTATGGGAGGCCCTAGCAACACAGGGACAGCACAAAGCAATGCAGTATGTATACTACTCAGGAAGGTGTGCAGCGGCGAGAAGCCTCCTGTTTCTGTTCCCCAGCCCGGCTTCCCCTTCCTCAGTGGCAGCCACTATTGGGTTCCTTGCATGTGTTCTTCAGAGCCCCAGGGTTTCCACCAGGGATGTAAGATGCGGCCTGTAACCGTGGATGGCAGAAACGACAGCTGGAGCTGCACGTGGTGACTGAACAGATGCCTCTCTCAAGTTATTTAGCTGTCTCTCTCCTTGAGGATTTATTTTATGTGTATGGGTATTTTGCTTGCACACACATATATATGGAGACCCTGGAATTGGAGTTACAGACAGTTGTGAGCTGTCATGTGGGTGATGGGAATTGAACCTGGGCCCTCTGCAGGAACACTGACCACTGAGTCATTTCTTCAGCTTTTTGGGTGCAGCTGAAAACACCTTTTGAATTTCTTTTTTTTTTTTTTCTTTCTGCCACCCCCAGACAGGGTTTCTCTGTATAATAGCCCTCGCTGTCTTGGAACTCGCTCTGTAGACCTAGCTGGCCTCAAACTCACAGAGATCCTCCTGCCTCTCTGCCTGACAAGGACTGGCATTAAAGGTGTGTGCCACCATGCCTGTTTCTTGAATTTCTTTTTTAACCCACTTAGTGGCTTGTGTTCCCTTTCTCCACTCTCATCCTCTGAGACAGTTTGATATTGGAAGATAATGAAGTCCATTTGAATGTGAGTGATTGAGGGGAATTTAGACTGAAGCCTTGAAAAGAGAGAAGGCACTGGATTAGACTTGTAATGTCACAGCATTTTTAATATGGCTTATTGAGCTGGACCTGAGGTCTCTTCACAAAAGGAATCTCTGTATGGGACATGGTACACTTTGATGTATAGCTTAATTTTTTTTAAAAGTTCAAGCCTATTTTTATTTTAATTGATTATGTAGTGAACAACACCAACAAAAAAAGTAGCACCCTGTGTAGTAACCAACTATGAATCAAAGATCAATGAGAGTCAGACTAGAAATCTGAGGTCTGATAGGGTTATGCAGTATCTTTCTTTTAAAAAGAGCAAAGGGAACTAAGCTAAGTCTTCAAGTTTAAGGAACTTTGTTCATATTCTGTAGAGGGAAATGAAGCAAAATTGTCTAAGACCACATTGTTGCAAAGCATTGATTTTGTGGTTTGGGACATAGGGGAAAATCTCTGTGGTGAATTTAAGGAAATACAAACAGGAACTAAAGTGCACTCCCTCTGGGGAAGGGGTCTTTCTTGACCCTTGCTGGGCACACTCTGGCATCATGCATTGGGAGTGAGGGTTGAGAATTACTTCCAGATCATCTATAGCCATTTATTCATCAGTATTTATTGCATACCACCAAGTACTGCAGAAGACAGTTGGTTTTGTCCTTGGACTTGTAGAGGAATGAGTTCAATGGCTACATTTTACAGGTTGCTTACTGTGTTGTAGGCATGGTGATGCACAGCTTATAATCGTCATGTAAACATGTTATCAAAACTTGTAACTAGGCCTGGCAGTGGTGGCGCACGCCTTTAATCCCAGCACTCAGGAGGCAGAGGCAGGCGGATCTCTGTGAGTTTGAGGCCAGGCTGGACCGACAGCCTCCAAAACAATACAGAGAAACCCTGTCTTGTAAAAACAAAAACAAAACAAAAAAAAAACCTTGGAACTAAAGATGGTAAGTTCTTTTAAGAAGCCAACAATTTAATGAGCTCTATAGGGCAAGATTTTTCCAGTAAATACAGCAAAAATAAGTAAGACTTTTAAAAAAGTATTAATAACCACTAATCATTAGTTTAATTTTAATGAGCCAGGGTAAAAACAAAACTCCATGGTTAGGTATAAAGCCATGAGTTTCTTGACCCTTGACCAGAGAGAGAAGTCTGTGCTCTTTGCTTTCTTGGTTGTGATATCTCGTGCCTCTTCTTCTCTCCCTGCCTTCTTCCTGCTTTCCTTTTTTCCAGACAGTCCGATGGCCATGAACTCTTGATCCTTTTGTCTGAGGTTCTCTAGTGCTGGTATCACAGGAGTGGGCCACCAAGCTGCTTTCAGCTGACCTATCTTACCCTTACTGTCTTTGTAACTAAAAGTAGAATAGTTAGCTGCATGATAAGAACCCTTTCAACGCAATTAATTAGTAACTCCCAACCAAAAGTCTGAGGCCAGCCTGGCCTGCAGAGTGAAAATGAAGCCCTGTCTCAAGAAGGCATAAACAGATAAAAACACCCACAGAGCATGGTTACTGGCAAGAGGGCGCATGTGTGTGTTCAGATTGATTTATTTTTATGTGTATGGGTGTTTTATCCGAATGTGTATCTGTATACCACGGTGTGCTTGGTGCCTCGGAGGCCAGAATGAGGCATCTTATCCACTGAAACTGGAGTTATAGATGATCCTGGGAACAAAACCCAGGTCCTCTGGTAGCCAGTGCTCATAACTACTGAGTCATCTCTTGATTTACTCTTGATTTTTTGGAGGAGCCTGCCACCCAGCTCCCTAATGCTTCACACACAGTATTATTCTTTCTTATAAACCCTGGGCCTTAGCTTGGCCTGTTTCTAGCCAGCTTTCCTTAACTTAAATGACCCCGTCTTCCTTTTGCTTTTTTCTTTTCTTCTCTATATCTTACTTTCACTCTTACTCTGTGGCTGGCTGTGTGGCTGGGTGACTGGCCCCTAGTGTCCTCTCTCCTTGTTCTCTTACTCTGTCTCTCTTCCCAAATTTCCCCTCCCATTTATTCTCTCTGCCTGCCAGTCCCGCCTGTCCTTCCTAACCTGCCTCACTGTTGACTGTTCACCTTTTTATCAGACCATCAGGTGTTTTAGACAGGCAAATAGTCACAGTTTCACAGAGTTAAACAAACACAACATAAAAGAATGCAACACACCTTTGCATCCTTATAAAACGAGTGTTCCACAGCA